TGAACGGCGATGTGGCGTATTTGACGTGATCTGTTGGGCCACGGCTCACCCATAGTGATAGACGAGCTGCACGAGCCACTTCGTCGACGGGAACTCGCGCAGATCTAGCCGCGGTCCGCGCCTCGAACGTGTCGTCGGGACCCGTCTTCGGCCGCGCGCCGCACCACGACCACGGCCTCGGCCGACGCAGTCGAGCGCGCGCCGCATCTATGCGCAACATGGACGGACCGCCGCGACGGTTTACGGACCCGCGGCGACCTCCGGACGCGTCCAGCGCCGCCCGCTGCTCGACCGCTCCCGCAGGCGGTTTCCGAGGCCGTGTGCGTCGTCGCGCGCACGCCGTTTCCAGCGCTCAAAAGTGGCACGCGACCGCGCAGGGACTAGTAGACGCGGACGGAAGCGGCGCGGGGGTCACAGGCGGCCTCATACGGCCTGTGGCGCGGCGCGAAGGCCATATTGAGGCTAATCGTCCGAGAGGTTTGGGTGTGGGGCGAGCTGATGAGCGAGCTTAGCAGCGACGCGGCAACATTGGTGCAAGTAGGTCACTAGTTAGGCGCCTAAAAAATACCTCGCGTGTTACAGCTCCGTGATCACCTGCTTGTGCTCCGCGTTGATCGTCTCCGGCACGGCCAGGCGGGGCAGCTCCGCCACGACCAACCCCGCGTCGCGGAGCGCGTTCGCCGCGACGAAGAGCACGCGCTCCATGGGCGCGCCGCGCGCCTCGTCCTGGCCGCCGAAGACGCCGTCGAAGAGGCCGGCCTCGTTGCGGAAGCCGACGACCTCGCTCCGCAGCACGCCGTCGGCCATCTGCCAGGGCGACGGCGCCGACTGGACGACGAGCGCCGCCGCCGGGTCCACGGCTTCTAGCGCCGCGTCGAGCCCCTCCAGGAAGTAGCGCCCCGTGACCTTCACCACGCGCTCGCAGCCATCCAAAATGCCCGAGTCCAGCGCCCGCCGGATGGCCCGCGCCTCGGCGTGGCCCTTGCCCTTGGCCGCGTCGACGGTGCCGTCGACGAACCTGGGCAGGAAAAGGGTGCGAAATTCCCAACTTCGGAAGCTCATATCTCGGTCATTTTCCACTCGTTTCGGCTAATTTTTGGACGGGCGATGATCTCTCGGAGCGCTCGCGAAGCGTGGATGCTTTTCTGGACGCGCGCGCGCGGGAAACTCACGTTGAAGCGACGTTGAATCACCCGTTTCCCGCCCTGCGACGAACGACACGAACGTCGCGCCGCGGTGCGCGTCCCGGAGGCTCCCGAGGTGCGCGCCGCTGTTCTCCACGAGCACCACGGGCAACGACGTGCCGTTGGCCCAGCGCGCCAGCGCGCGCTCGTAGTCGCCGCGGCGCAGCGCGGGATCGCGCCGCGCCGTGTGCGTCATGTCTCTCGCGGGACACACCGTCGCCGTCAGCAGCAGGCACCAGGGCGCGCGCGGCGCGCCGCCGATAACTGTCGTGTCTTCTCCCTCGCAACTCTCGCAGTCGCCGCCGTCGCAGCCGAACTCGGCGCAGTCGAAGCGCGGCGCGAAGCCGTTGTCCGACACGAGCCCGCCCGCCTCGCAGCAGCCGCTGCCGCGCCAGTCGTCGCAGGTCGCGTAGCCGTAGTCCGCGAGCGCGCAGTCCTCGGCCGCGAGGCAGACGCCGGCGCAGTCCTCGACCTCGCCGACGCCGCAGCCGCCGCAGTAGCCGCAGTGTCTGTCGCAGGCGTGGGCGTACGGGCACGTGGGGCAGAACCAGGCGCCGCAGTCCAGCGCCGCGTCCGCGCAGGACGTCGCGACGCCGTCGACCCAGAGCGGCTCGTCCGCGCACGTCGACGCGGCTGCGACCGCGAGGCCCAGGAGGAGCAGCAGCGCTGCCTCCATCATGCTGCCCCCTTCAATAAAAAATTCAATTTCGCGATGGCGGGGCTGCTCGGCATCCTCGCGGTGCTCGCCTCCGCGCGAGCCCAGAAGGCCGTGCGGCTCATCAACCTCACGCTCGGCGAGGCGCACCGCGAGTGGGGCCAGTTCTTCGTCGAACGCATGCCCCGGCGCTGCGCGACCTACGACGAGGGCTCGACGCTCATGGCCATCGGCAGCGACCACTTCGTCTACGAGCTCACGACCTGCGACGACATCCTGCAGGCCGTCATCATGTTCTGCCACCACGACGGCGCCGGCGAGTACCCGGCGGGCCACCGCTGCGCGACGGCCTACTTCGCCGCGCTCCTCGACCAGGGGAAGCTCGGCGCCTCCGACGCGGAGCGCGCTAAGCGGACCGTCGCGGCCATGGAGGACACGGTGGAGTTCAATACCTTGGCGGCGACGGGCCGCCTGCGCTTCCGCGACGACTTTGTGACGTCGAACTGGCACCTCGCGTGGGTCGTCGACGAGCTGACGCGCGGCGGCGCGCCCGCGCGCGCGCTGGAGATCGGGTCCTACGAGGGCCGCTCCGCCTGGCTCTGGTACCGGCTCCTGAGCCGCGCGCCGGGCTCGACGCTGACCTGCGTCGACATCCAGTTCGCGGAGCACTTCGAGTACAACGTCGAGCCGCTGCGGACCGTGGGCTTCCTGGAGCGAACGCTGGAAAAGCCGTCGAACCGGGCGCTCTTCGAGCTCGACCCGGACCGGCCCTACGACCTGATCTACGTCGACGGCTCGCACAACGCGACGCACGTGCTCGCGGACGTCGTCATGGCCGACGTGCTCCTCCGCGACGGCGGGCTCATGATCCTCGACGACATCGAGTGGCGCGGCGTCACGGACGCGGCGGAGCGCTTCTTCGAGATCAACCGCGACCGCTACGTCGTCGTCGCCGTCATGCGGCAGCTCGCGCTGCGCAAGTTCCACGGCGCGGAGCTCCAGGCCGGCGACCGCGCCGCGCGCTACCAGGACATCGAGCGCACGGCGGCGTCCTGGGACGGCTCCGCCATCGAGCGCGGCGCGGAGCGGGCGAGGCTCGCGGGCACGGCGGGGTAATATACGTCGCCGGAGGCGTCGCGGCACGGACTGCATCGACAAACTTCACCATTCAAGGCATTCAAGGCATCCGCGTCGACGCTCCGGCCCTCAACTTGTGATAGCAAGTTGGGGAGCGCCTTCCGTGCCACCGCCCCGGGTCGGGAGCGGCCCGTGGGAGTCATGATGGCGGCGCTCTCTACGCCGTCCGACGTGGGCGGCAAGACCTGGTCCAGCGACGGCCTCGTCGGCCTCGACCTCGACGAGGGCGCGTCGTCCGAAAACGCCAACAAAAACGTCTGGAACGCCTGGCTCCCGAGCACGAGCCTCCCCCTGGGCCTCTTCGTCGACGGCGACAGCGACGACGAGGAGAAGGGCGCCCGCGCGCGCGTCGCCGGCGTCCCGGAACGGTCCCGCGCGCGCGCCCGAGAGATTCGCGCGCGTTTCCGCCGGGACGAGAGACGGACCCCCCCCCTCTCCCTTCGCAGGCGCACGGTGCGCTTCTCCGTGAGCGGCGAGAAGAGCTCCCTCTTCGGCGTCGGGGAGCCGGGCCACAAGACGCCGCGGCGCCTGAACAGCACCGAGCGCTTCGAGCTTCGCATGGTTCGCCCGGACCTCGACGTGCGGGACAGCGAGTGGGCCAAGCGCGTGCGCGGCATGGCGGAGAAACGCGCCGAGCGCGGCGACGAGGCCGACGACGGCGCCGCGCCGGAAAACCCGCCGCCGGCGTACGAGGACGTCGTCGCCGGCGACGCGGCCGCCGCGGAGACGGCGACGGCGCCGCGCGGCGACGCGGTCGACGAGGCCCGCGCGGCGCCGCGGGAGGCCGTCGCGACACCCGCGGGCCGCATCTCCTGGATGGTGGGCCTCGGCCGCCGGCTCCGGCGAAACGTCGCCGACTCGGCGCGAACCGTCGCGCGCGAGCTTCGCGAGGCGCTCGACGAGTCCCTGGCCGAGGAGTGCGGCTCCGACGACGACGACGACGCCAGGCAAGGGGACGGCTTCTTCGCCACGTCCCACGACCTCGCCGACATCTAGCGCGGCCCGGCGGCGGCCGCCGCGGCCGCCGCGCTTCGCCCGCGCGCCGGAACGAATCCGCCGCCCTATAGCGGCCACTTTAGTTTTCCCATTCTGAGATGCTGGGCGTTCGTCGGGCGGGTGGAGCGCGCCGTCGACAACACAGGCGAAATTAAGCTGCCGGGCCACGCGCGGGTCCTACAGGTCCCAGTCGACGCCCGACTCGTAGCCGAGGTCGTCGACGAGGTGCGCGTTGATGCGCGAGAAGCACTTGCTGCCCGTGAAGGGCGCGTCGGTCTTCGTGTTCGACAGCGGCGACGGGTGCGAGCTCACGATGACCTTGTGCTTCCGGCGGTCGATGTTCGCGCACTTGGCGAGCGCGGGCTTGCCCCAGAGCACGAAGACGGCGCCCTTGCCCGGCCGCCGGTTGACGCACTTGACGACGGCGTCCGTGAAGGTCTCCCAGCCCTTCTTCTGGTGGCTGTTCGCCTCGCCCCGGCGCACCGTGAGCGACGTGTTGAGCAGCAGCACGCCGCGCGCCGCCCACTTGGAGAGGTCGCCCGTGCCCGCGGGCGGCGGCGCCGCGCCGACGTCCTCGCCGCACTCCTTGAGGATGTTGCGCAGCGACGGCGGGAACTTGCAGTCCGCGCCGTCCTTGATCGAGAACGCGAGGCCGTGCGCCTGGCCGGGGCCGTGGTACGGGTCCTGGCCGACGACGACGACCTTGATGCCGCTCAGCGGGCAGGCGTCCAGGGCCGCGAAGGTGTGCTCCGGCGGCGGGAACACCGTCTTCGCGCGCCGCTCCTTGGCCACGAACTCCGCGAGCGCGAAGAGGTAGCTCTTGCTCGCCTCGCCGGCGAGCGCCGCGCGCCACTCGTCGTCGGCGATGGGCTCGAGGAACTTGAGCGCGCGTTTCTTCTGGGCCTCCTTCTTGTTCGCCAGGATCTTCGCCTTCGCCGTCGCGTCCGTGGCCGTCGCGTCGTCGGCCTTGGCGGCGGCTGGCGTGGATGCGGCGGCGCTCGCCGGCTTCTGCTTCTTCGGCTTCGGCGCGAAGAAGTCCTTCATTGTCGTCGACTGCTTCGCCGCTGCGGCCTTCTTGGCCGGCGCCATGATTGGTATTTGCGTTGGCGCGCGGCCTCGAGTATTTGCGTTGGCGCGCAGCCTCGAGCTCCTGAGCTGGCTCGGCCCCGAGCGGGGAGACGCTCTCGAGCTCGCTGGCCGGTTTCAAACTTTCCAAGGAGCGTCGTCCGGGCGCGGAGCTCGAGCCAATGCAGAGAAGTGCGGAGCCGACGCGTCGACGGCGCTCTCCGCGTGAGATCACGTGCAACCTTAGGTGATCGCCGCGACGGCCAGCGCGGCGGCCAGCGCGGGCGCGCCCGGGCCGCGCCGCCGGCCCGAGGACGGCGCGCGCCGCTCGCGCGCCTCCGCCACGGCGACGGCGGCGCGGAGGATGATCTCGAAGGCGTCGCCGGGCCCCGCGGCGTCGTCGACGGCGTACTGGAGCGCCGGCGCGGTCGCCGCCGCGTTGGACCGGAGCTCCGCGACGGCGTCGCCGTCGAGGCCCGCGAGGTGCGCGAGCGCGTCGAGGTCGCCGCGGGCCACCTGGGCAGCAAAAGAGTGATTCAACGTCGCTTCAACGTGAGTGTTCCGCGCGCGCGCGTTCCGAAAAAAACATCCACGCGTCGAGGCCGTTCCAAGAGATGATCGCTCGTCCAAAAATCAGCCGAAACGAGTGGAAACCGGCCGAGAAAGGAGCCTTTGAAGTTGGGAATTTCGCTCTCTTTTGCTGCCCCGCGGGCCACGGCCGACGCGTTGAGGACGACGGCGTGGGGCGAAAAGGCCCCGACGCCCGCCAGGGCCTCGAGGCCGCGGTGCCACGGCGCGACGCGCGCGAGCTGCTGCGAGAAGAGCACGGGCACGCAGCCCGACAGGAGCGCGTCGAAGACGCCCTTGCGGTAGGGGCTGTCGCCGCCGGGCTCGAGGCAGAAGGTCGCGCGCATCATCGTCGCTTTCAACCCGCAAAAGTTCTTGACCTTGGGCGCGCAGGCGTCGCGGTCGTCGCGCGGGCTCGTCCGCTCGCACCGGTCCGCCGCCCCCAACCCCTGCCGGAGGTCGCACGCGGCCTTGAGCCGCGGCCGCAGGCCGGCGTAGGTCTTGTTCGCGTGCGTCGTGCCCAGGTACGACACCAGACTCTCGCGCCGCCGGCCGTCGTAGCGCCACGCGGGCGGGCGGAACCGCCGCGCGGCCCGCGAGAGCCCGTGGACGTTCGACGGGTAGGGGACGCTGTAGAGGTGGGGGAAGTGGCGCGCGTCGTCGAAGACGCGGTCGCCGGCCATCTTCCGGGCGAGGGCGGCGTCGTCGAAGAAGACGGGGCCGTAGGGGCCGTGCTCGCCGCCGCCGTGCTTCGAGTAGTCGTCCGAGTACGCGAACCGCGTCGCCCGCTTCAGCAGGCCCCGGGGCTTGCGCCACCACCTGTCGCATTTCCCCCGGGGCTTCGTGTGGCCCTTGCCCACGAGCAGCACGTGGCGGTGGGCCCGCGCTTCGTCGAGGTGGGGCAGCGCCTTCGTCTCGTTCTCGTTCGCTTCCCGATCGCAGACGGCGTCCCAGGCGTCCGCGTCCTTGGCCGCGGGCCACGTCGGCACGAGGAACAACTCCGCGTCCCTCGGCTCGTCCACGGCGCCGCAGCGCGCCGACGTCGCGAGGCGCCAGAGCACGACCATGGCCATGGACCACTGCGCCGTGTCGAACTCGTCGGCGACGCCCGCGCCGCAGGGCTGCCCGAAGATCCGCGCCGGCGACACCGTGTGGAGCTCGCGCCAGGGCACGTCGTAGTCCCAGAGGGCCGGGATGTCGTAGACATACGTTTTCGGGCAGTCGCTGCCGACGGTGCGGAGCGGCCGGGCCTTGAGTTTCTTCGGGAGCCGCGGGGCGAGAGACACGTCGCTGCCGTTGATGCAGGTCGTCGCGGCCGGCGCCGCGGGCAGCAGGAGGAGCGCCAGGCGCCGCAGCGCCGCGCCGCGCATGTGGCGCTAGCAAGGCTTCGCCATGTTAACGGGACACGACTGAGCCATAATGCATCAGCCTGAGAGGGAAAATTTAAAATAAATGTGGCTGGGTTGGATAAGATCCCCGATCGAATGACGCGGATCGGATTCGAGAAAATCGATGGCAAAGAGGGCTTTGGCAGTGGTGATGGGCACCTTTGGCAAGCTCTATCTCGGCGCCATGACCACCGATTTGCAAAATTCTTGTTGCATCTGAAAGCCGGCACCGCCGTCTTGCGCGCAGAGCCACTAACTCAAAAACTTCAAGAGCCCCACAAATCCGCCTTTTTATTCAACCCAGCCACTTATTATTTTATGCAAACCCTGGCGCTAAGCACAACAGCCCTCTGGAACGATGCCTTCCATGAAGCTCCACTATTTTGATGGCCGCGGCACGGGGGAGACGACGCGGCTCCTCCTCAAGGCGACGCGCACGGAGTTCGAAGACATGCGCTACACCTTCGACCAATTCAAGGAGCTCAAGGCGGCCGGCACCTTCGCGAGCAACCTCGACCGGCTGCCCGCCCTCGAGGTCGACGGCGTGATGATCGGCCAATCGAAGACGTGCGAGCGGTTCGTGGCCAAGCACGTCGGCATGGCGGGCACCAACCCGCTCGAGGAGGGGCTCATCGACGCCGTCTGCGAGCACAAGCGGGACCTGCGCGACGCGTACCAGCCCGCGAACAAGATGGAGAAGGGCTCCGAGGAGCGCGCGGCCGCGGAGAAGAAGTATTTCGAGGAGGACATGCCCGCGTTCCTCGAGAAGGTCGACAGGGCGCTGCCGGAGGCGCCGGGGCCCTGGCTGGTGGGGCCGTCCATGTCGCTGGCGGACGTCGCGTGGTTCCAGCTCCTCGTCGAGTTCTTCGACAAGGAGGCGGAGCAAGCCGGCGTCCAGGCGGCGCTGGCCAAGGCGCCGCGCATGAAGGCCGCCCTGGACGCGGTCCTCGCCAACGCGGAGATCAAGGCGTGGCGCGAGTCGCGGCCCGCGGGCATGTTCTAATTATCGCGCCACGCGCAGCTGGACGTGTCGCGCCGTCATCATGTCGAGGAGCGCGGTCCGCGACAGCGTCGTCGCGACGTTCATGTAGACGTAGCACTCGCCCGCGCGGCCGAAGGCCGGCGAGTCGCACTGCGCGCGCTGCGCGCGCCAGAGGTCGCGCCAGCCCGCCGTGAACGCCGCGTCGCCCGTCGCGCCGTCGAGGTCGTCGGCGTCGCGGCTGGCGACGTGGACGAGGTCGCGGTAGGCGCGCGCGGACATGTTGTAGGGCCGGTCCGACGAGTGGCTGTGGCCGTACTGGCCGAAGTCGAGCGGCGCTTCCTCCAGCCCGAGGAAGCCGAGCATGTCGCCGAAGACCGCGGCCGGCGCCGCGATGAGCGCCTCCATGGTCGCGAAGTAGAACTGGCGCCGGTCGAAGACGGCGAGCGCGCGCCGCGCCGCGGCGCCGTACCTCTCGAGGTGCGCCGCCAGGGCGCCGTTTTGAGCACAAACATCGAGGGACCCCCCCAGGAGGCACGTCGGGTACTTGGCGTCCGGCGCGCGGCCGTGGCGCTCGCGCTTGAGCACGTTCGCGGCCGCGTGCTGGAGGTAGCTGACCGCGCGCGTGACGGGCCTGGGCAGGAAAAGAGTGATTCAAGTTCGCTTCAACGTGAGTGTTCCGCGCGCGCGCGTTCCGGAAAAAGCATCCATGCTTCGAGACCGTTCCGAGAGATGATCGCTCGTCCAAAAATCAGCCGAAACGAGTGGAAAACGGCCGAGAGAGGAGCCTTTGAAGTTGGGAATTTCGCACTCTTTTCCTGCCCTGTGACGGGCTCGCGGAAGACGACGACGAGCTTGATCGCGGGGTTCGCGGCGCGGAGGCTAGAGAGCGTGTGCGGGTCCTTGTCGACGAGGTAGGACGCCGTACCGTCGAAGGTCGCGCGCGACGAGTCGTTCCACCACGACTCGAGGCGGAGGTCGCGGAAGTAGTCCGGCATGTCGCGCCGCTGGGCCGTTTCCGTCTTGCCGAAGAAGAAGGGCTCCTTGACGCGGGGCGCGAGGACCCGCGGGTGCTGGGCGAACCAGGCGCTCAGCGTCGTCGTGCCGCACTTGGCCGCGCCGCCGACGTAGAAGGCCGGGAAGGAGAAGGACGCGTTGGCGCCGCGGGCGCGCACGGCGGGCCAATCCGGCGTCGCGGCGGCGCCGCAGGCCAGCAGCGCCAGGACGCGCATCGTTCGTTCTAGCGCATCACGCGGTAAGCGCGCGTGTCAATGCGACGGAGCTCGAGAGCAGCAACCCATGGCCATCGTTGCTCGAGCAGCCCATTGAGGTCAACGTGCCGCGTTCACATTGACACTTAACTTTGACGTCGCTTTGGCAGCCCAGGGAGAGCGCTCGCGGCAGCCCTTGCCGATGGCGGACCCGCACGTCGTCGACCCCGCGGGCAGGGAAGCCCTCGAGTACCGCGACGTCAAGTTGCGGCAGTCGCTCGGGCTGCGCTTCCCGGGCGAGCAGAGCGGCCCCTACTGGTACACGCCGGAGCAGATGAAGGGCCGCTTCCCGCCCTACTGGGGCACGCCCGTGCCGCCCTTCGCCGGCGCGCCGCCGGGCATGGCCTACGGCGTGCCCCCGTGGCTCGAGCCGCCGGCGCAGGCGCCGTTGGCGCCGGCGCCGGCGCCCGTGCAAACTGCGACCGTGCCAACCGCGACCGCGCCAACCGCGCCCGTGCCGCGGCCCGCGACGCCCTCCGCCGAGGCGCCCGTGGCCGCCGTGGCCGCGTGGGCGCGGACGTCCCTGGCCGAGCCCGCACCGACTTCCGCGCCGACGCCCGCGCCCGCGGCGCCGCCGGCCACCGCCGCGGCGCCCGCGCCCGCGCCCGCGCCCGCGCTCGCGCCCGCGCCCGCCGCCGCGCCCGCGCTCGCGCCCGCGCCCGCCGCCGCGCCGCCACCCGAGGAGCCCCCCGTTCCCGCACCCGCGGCCTCCGCGCCGGCCACCGCGGCGCCCGTGGCGGCGGGGACGCGCTGGGGCCCCATTGGGCCGCCCCCCAAGGTCCGGGACCGGAGCAAGCCCGCGATCAAGCTCGGCCCGCGCGACGTCTTCGGCGCCTACCCCTGCGCCATCCCCGGCTGCCCGCGGACCTTCGCGCACGCGCCCGCGGCCGTGCAGCACGGCAAGTCCTGCAAGTTCGCGGGCAACGGCGCCGCGCCGGCGCAGAAGAAGAAGAAGGCGCGGCCGCCGCCGCCGCCGCCGCCGCCGCCGGCGAAGAAGCCGCCGGCGAAGAAGCCCGCGGCGCCCGCCGTGGTCCCGACGCGCCGCGGCAACCGCAGCTGCCCCGGCCGCTCCCTGCCCGCCGCGTCGGCGCCGCCCGCGCCGCCCGACGCGCCGCCGGACGCGGGCGACGTCGACGCCGCCGGCGAGCCGCGGCTCCCGAACGCGAAGAAGCGGCCCATCTGCCGCCCGTCCATGGCCGCCACGGGCCAGCCGACCATCGACGCGCAGCTCAAGGCCGCGGCGGCGCTCGACGCGATGCACGCGGAGGCGTTCGCGACGAAGCGGCGCCGCCGCGTCGTCGACGCGCCCGCCGACGACGGCGGCGCGCCGCGGCTCGAGGACGACGTCGACGAGTGCCCCATCTGCCTCTTCGCCCTCGACGCGGACGTGGTCCTCGTCTGCGGCCCCGCGTTCCACGGCGTCAAGATCCACCGGAGCTGCACGGAGGACTGGACGCAGACGCAGGCCGACTGCCGCCGCTGCCTGAAGAAGCTCCACGGCGGCGACGCGCCCGCCGCGGCGACGACGGACGCGGAGGAGCGCGACTGCCGGGCGTGCCGCGGCCGCCACGTGCGCCACACGTGCGGCAAGCGGGGGTAACGCCTAGTTGGAGTGTGCCCCGCGCGGCGCTCGTCCGTCGGAGCGACCGGCCCTTACGTCTGCAGCGCCCCCGGGGGTTGGTCCGAGGAGTTGTTCGGCCGCAGCGCGAGCGCGGCGGCGACGGCGACGGCGCCGCCCGCGACCGTGAGCGTGCCGACGAGGACGCGGCGGAGCGTGGCGACGGCGCCCTCGAGCTTCGCCGTGCGCGCGGCGGACGCGGCGGACAGCGCCGCCTCGGCCTCGGCCAGCGCGAGCGCCTTGGCCTCGGCGACGGACGACGCGAGGCGCGCCTCGGATTCCTCCGCCGCGTCCGCGAGCCGCGCCCTGGCGGCGTCGAGCTCGTCGGCGGCGTCGGCGTAGGTCGTCCGCAACGACGCGAGCTCCGCCGCCGCGTCCTCCGACGCCTCCTCGAGCTCGGCCTCGTGCTTCTTCTCGAGCGCCGCCAAGGCCTCCTCGCGCGCGTCGGCCCGGCGCTCCGCGGCGGCCGCGGCCTGCTCCGCGGCCTTGACGGCGGCGGCCAGCGCGTCGTCGCCCTTCTTCGCGCCGCCGCCCTGCTTGAGCGCCGTCGGGCCCTTGCGCTTCTTCGGCGGGGGCTTCGCCGCGGGCGGCGGCGCCGCGTCGGCCTCGGGCGGCCGCGCGGCTTCGGCCGCTTTGGGCCGCTTCTCCTTCGCCGGCTTCTTCTCCGGCTTCTTCTCCTTTTTCGGCTTCGCCTCCGCCTTGTCCTGCGTCTCCGGCGCCTTGGCGAAGAAGCCGAAGAAGCCGCCCGACTTCGGCGCGGGAGCCAAGTCGCCCGACTTGGGCGCGGGCGCGGGCGCGGGCTTGGACTCGGGCCAGAGCCGGCGCGCGAGCCACCCAAACCAGGACCGCTTCGGCTTCGCCGCCTCCGTCGCGTTCGCCGGCGCGAGGGGCGTCTCCGCCCGGCCCTTGCCCAAGAGCCGCGCGAGCAGCGACCGCTTCTTCGCCGGCGCGACGGCCTTCTCGTCCGACGGCGCCGCGTCGATGGACGTCTTCGGCGCCGCCGCGCGCTCCGCGCCGCGCCAGTCCGTCTTCTTCTTCGGCGCGGGCGCCTCGGCGACCTCGGGCTCGGGCTCGGGCTCGGGCGCCGGCTCGGGCGCCGGCGGCTCGGGCTCGGGCGCCTTCTGCGGCGGCGCCTGCTGTTGCTGCGGCGGCGCTTGCTGTTGCGGCGGCGGCGCCTGCTGTTGCTGCGGCGGCGCTTGCTGCGGTTGTGGCGGCACTTGCTGCTGCTGCGGAGGCATCGCGTGGGTCGGCGGCGCCTGCTGCTGCTGTTGCTGATGCTGATGCTGCGCCGCCGCCGCCGCGGCAGCAGCGCGCGGATCCTGCTGCTGCTGCTGCTGCTGCTGCGCCGCCGCCGCCGCCGCCGCAGCGCGCGGATCCTGCTGCTGTTGCTGTTGCGCCGCCGCCGCCGCCGCTGCCGCCGCGCGGGGATCCTGCTGCTGATGCTGCTGCTGCTGCGCCGCCGCCGCCGCGCGGGGATCTGGCTGCTGCTGCTGCTGCTGCGCCGCCGCCGCCGCCGCCGCCGCGCGCGGATCCGCCGACGGCTGCTGCTGCTGCGCCGCCGCGCGCGGATCCTGCGGCTGCTGCTGCGCCGCCGCCGCGCGCGGGTCCGGCTGTTGCTGCTGCGCCGCCGCCGCGCGCGGGTCCGGCTGTTGCTGCTGCTGCTGCGCCGCCGCCGCCGCGCGCCTGCGGCGGCGGCCGCCGCGGGTCCGCCTGCGCCGCCGGCGCCGCCGCCGCGCGCGGATCCTGCTGCGGCTGCGGCTGCGTGGGGTCGACCTCGAGGGCCCAGGCCGTCTGGCCGCTCGCGGCGTCGACGTAGTAGGGCCGCTGGCTCTGCGGATCCCAGATCGTGTCCCAGGTGCGGCCGTAGCGGTCGACGACGCGCGGCGGCGGGATCGGGCGCGCGCGCGACGTCACGGCCGCCTGCGCGAGGATCGTGACGACGAGCGCGCGCGCGAGGCCGCCGGCGCGGCGCCGGCGAGGCCTAGTGTTTGAACCCATGCTGTGGTCGAGATGCAGCTCGCCGGGTTGCCGCGCCTCGCCGGGGATCATGGCGCTGGCGACTGAGCACGTGACGCGTACGCGGTGGAGGCTCGCTGGACCTCCGACGACCTTTACGCCGCGCCCCCGTCGCCGCCGTCCGAGGAGTCGGTCTGGAGCCCGAGGCCCGCGAGGTCGTCGTCGTCGAAGTCGCTGAGCTTGCTGTCGACCTCGCTGGGCACCTCCTCGGGCCCGTCGCCGTCCGCGCCGCGCGAGTCCGAGAGCAGGCTGCCGCCGCCGTCCGCGCTGGGCCCCGACGCGGACGAGTCCTTGTCGTTTGGCGGCTCCGACGCCGACGAGCCGTCGGCGCCGTCGGCCCAGGGCGCCGGCGCCGCGCCGCCCGCGGGGCTGTCGCGCATCCAGTCCGGCGCTCCCGCCGTCGAGCTCCCGCTCGGCGACTCGTCTTTTTTGGGCGTGTCCCGCATCCAGAGGGGCGTCGCCCGCTTCGCGCGGCTCGCCGCCGCGGCGCGGATGGCGCCGCCGAAGTCCGTCTCGTCGCTCTTGGTCGCTTCGAGGCTCGCGACGTTGACCACGTCCACCGACGCGATGCCTTTATCGGTCGCCGCGGACGAAGGCCGCCGGTCGAAGACCGCGGCGGCAAAGTCCACGGAGCTCACGACGTCCGGCGCCTCGAGGGCGTCCTCGTCCTCGTCGTCCGCGGCGGCGGCGGCGGCGGCGAGCGACGCCTCGTGGTTTTCCGCGAGCTCCGCGAGGTCCCGCTCGTGCTGCGCCGCGTCGAGCGCCGCCCGGGCCGCGGACGCCGCCCCGGCCGCGGCGGCGGCGTCGGTTTCCGCTGCGAGGCGCGCGGCCTCGGCGGTCGCGGCGGCCTCGGCCTTAGCCGCGGCCTCGGCCTCCGCGGCGGCCTTCGCGTCCGCGGCGGCCTTGGCCTCCGCTTCCAGGCGCGCGGCCTCGGCCTCCTCAACGGCCTTGGCCTCCGCAGCGGCCGCGGCTTCGAGGCGCTCGGCTTCCGCCTTCGCGTCCGCGGCGGCCTTGGCCTCCGCTTCCAGGCGCGCGGCCTCGGCCTCCTCGGCAGCCTTGGCCTCCTCAGCGGCCTTGGCCTCCGCAGCAGCCTTGGCCTCCGCAGCGGCCGCGGCTTCGAGGCGCTCGGCTTCCGCCTTCGCGTCCGCGGCGGCCTTGGCCTCCGCTTCCAGGCGCTCGGCCTCGGCCTTGGCCTCCTCCGCAGCCTTGGCCTCTGCAGCGGCCGCGGCTTCGAGGCGCTCGGCTTCCGCCTTCGCGTCCGCGGCGGCCTTGGCCTCCGCTTCCAGGCGCTCGGCCTCGGCCTTGGCCTCCTCCGCGGCCTTGGCCTCCTCAGCGGCCACGGCTTCGAGGCGCTCGGCTTCCGCCTTCGCGTCCGCGGCGGTCTTGGCCTCCGCTTCCAGGCGCTCGGCCTCGGCCTTGGCCTCCTCCGCAGCCTTGGCCTCCTCAGCGGCCGCGGCTTCGAGGCGCTCGGCTTCCGCCTTCGCGTCCGCGGTGGCCTTTGCCTCCGCTTCCAGGCGCTCGGCCTCGGCCTTGGCCTCCTCCGCAGCCTTGGCCTCTGCAGCGGCCGCGGCTTCGAGGCGCTCGGCCTCCGCCTTCTCCGCGGCGGCCTCGGCCTCCGCTTCCAGACGCTCGGCCTCTGCCTTTGCGGCTGCCTCGGCCTCGATCCGCTCGGCCTCGACGCGCTCGGCTTCGAGGCGTGCGGTTTCAAGGCAATCGGCCTCGAGGCGCTCGGTTTCGAGGCGCTCGGCTTCGACGCGCTCGGCCTCGACGCGCGCGGCCTCGACGCGCTCGGTCTCCGCCTTGGCGGCGGCCTCCGCCTCGACGCGCTCGGCTTCCACGCGCTCGGCCTCGACGCGCTCGGCCTCGACGCGCTCGGCTTCCAAGCGCTCGGCCTCGACGCGCTCGGCCTCGACGCGCGCGGCCTCGACGCGCGCGGCCTCGACGCGCTCGGCCTCGACGCGCTCGGCTTCGACGCGCTCGGCCTCGACGCGCTCGGCTTCCAAGCGCTCCGCCTCGACGCGCTCGGCCGCGACCCTTCCAGCGTCCGCCGCCGCCGCCACGCCGTCGTCGGCGACCTCGAGCGACGCGGCCGGCGTCGCGGCGTCGGGGAACGACGCCAGGAAGTCCGAGAGGCGCGACGACGCGCCGTCCGGCCGCGGCGAGTCGTGGTTCCGGCTCTCCGTCGCCGCGCTCGACGCCGCGGACGCGCCGGCGAAGGACGCCACGAAGGCGCCGACCTTGGACCGGCGCGCCGACGGCGGCGGCTGCGTCGGCGACGCGACGCTCCGCTTCGGCGGCGCGACGAAGTCGTCGCCCGCGGGCGACCGCGGCGTCTCCGGCCCCTCCTCCTCCGCGAAGGTCCGGTTCGCGCGCGCCTCGAGGTCCGCGGCGAGGGCGGCGACGTGGCCCGTGGGCTCGAGGCGCGGCGGCCGCTGCTTCGGCGGCGGCGTCGCGTCGAGGGACCGCCTTAAATCCGCGAGCGACGCGCGGACCTCGTCCCGGTCCGCGTCCCGCCGCCGCCGGTCCGTCCGGAACTCGTCGTGGAGCGCCTGCAGCGCACTCAGCGTCTCGCTCGCCGAACTCGCCCGCGCCAGCGACGCCGACAGGTCCCGCATGGAGTCGTGGAGCGACGCGACGTCGCCGCGGAGCGCGTCGCTCGCGACGGGCGGCGAGTCCGGGCCGTCGACGAAGAGCGACCGCCGCAGGGCCTCGAAGGACGCGTGGAGGTCGTCGACGGGGACGCGCAGGCCGTCGTCGGGGCCGAGGCGCGCGAGGAGCGCCTCGAAGCCCGCCTCGACGCTGTTCACCGCGGCCTCGGCGTTTCGCGCGGACCGGCGCCCGGCAGACGGCGACAGCGCGACGCCCTCGAGCGTGCCCTTGAGCCCGGCGACCTCGGCGGCCAGGGCGTCGAGCTGCGACTGCACGTCGCCGGCGGGCGCCCGGGGATCCGCGGCCGCGGCCGCCTCGACGGCGTCGAAGCGCTTCCTGAAGTCGTCGTCCATGCGCTCGACCTTGGCCAGGACGGCGTCGACCTTGGGCGTCAATAACGCCACGTCCGTGGTCGTCGCCGCCACGGACGTTCGTAGCGCGCCGACGTCCGCCTCGACCCTGGACGCCCGCTCGGCGACGGTTTTGAGAGAGGCGCGCGTCTCCGCGGCGAAGCCGTCCATCGCCGCCGTCGCCGCGTCCGTCGCCGCGCGGTCCTTCGCGAGCTCGCCCCGGAGGCTCTCGAAGCGCCCGCCCAGGCCCTGGGGCCCGTCGAGGCAGCCCAGGAGCCGCTCGTAGAGCGCGACGGTCGCGGGGTCCCGGCCGTCGCCGCGCGGCTCCAAATCGGCGGCCCGCTCGCCGCGGAAGGCCTCGAGGTTCGCGTGGAGCCGGTCGAGCTTCGCCGTGATGGCCGCGAGGTCCGTCGAGGGCACGCGGTCGCGGCCGCTGCCGAGGACGCCGAAGGGCAGGTGGGGCTTCACCGGCGGGCCGACGTCGCGCGCCACGTCCCGCTTCAGGCGCGCGATGGCCGACGCGTAGAAGTGGGACTTGGGCAGCCCCTGCTCCAGCATCATCATGCCGTAGCCCCGCTTCGTCGCGTCGTCCATTGTGTGAGTGCTCACATTTGATTCGGTTTGCCTACGCCATCATGCTGCCCCAAACGGCGTCAACTTGCAGTATCGAGTCGACGTTGCCATACTGTGTCGCAATGAACCGTGCTCTTTTTTAGCGGCTAGCCAGAGCGCACACCGCCAACCAGGTCGCAATGCGCCCTACGATGCTACGACGCGTCGCGGTAACGCTCGTCGCGCTCGCGCGCGCGGCGCCGTGGACGCCGGAGCTCGCGCACGACGGCACGACGCCCTGGGACGGCCCGGCGATGATCCGCGCGGAACTGAAGCGCTCCGTCGCCGCGTACGCCGCGCGCACGACGGCCGAGGAGGCGCGCAAGTACGCGGCGTCGCTGGCGCGGCACGGCGACCAGCTCTGCGTCTTCCTCCGCGGCCGGCTCTTCGTGTCCGACAAATTCCTCGACCAGAGCAAGCACAAGAAGCACGCCGCGTACGTGCTGAGCGCGCACAGGCGGGTCGCCCTGCCCAACGCGCTCTACCTCTTCGAGAAGGACTCGACGGGCGGCGACTCCTGGCCCGCGCGCACCGGCGGCGATCCCGCGACGCCGCTCCTCGTCATCTCCAAAAAAAAGGGCTACGGCGGCCTCGGCGTCCTCGTGCCGAACCCCTTCTTCGAGAACGGCGACGTGAACAAGTGGGGCCGCGCCGCCAAGGCGCTGCACGAGGCCGCCAAGGCGCGGCCCTGGGAGTCGCGGCGCGCCGACGTCTTCTGGCGGGGCAACGTCGGAAACCACGCGCCGAACGCGGACTACGACTTCTGCGACCGCGACAGCGGCAACTACGCGCGCTTCGAGGCGCTGAGCCTCGCCGTGGACCACCCGGAGACCTTCGACGTCAAGTGCCAGAAGTGCCGGCCGCGGAACGCTTCCGCGTTTCCGTGCCCGACGGACGCGTACGACGCGACGATGGCCGCGCTCGTGGACGACGCGGCGCCCATGCGCGACGAGGCCTGGGTCGACCCGCGAGACTACAGCGCCCACCGGGCCGTGCTGAACCTGCCGGGGACGACGGCCGGGGGATACAGCCGGAACCTGAACCACCTCTGGGTGCTCAAGGCGCCCGTGCTCCTGTGGGACGCGCCCTTCGTCGAGCACTACTACCCGGCGCTCCGCCACGGCGACACGCACCTCGCCGTCGACCGGCGCGACGCTTTGTCGTTCGCGCGGTCCGCGCTCGGCGACGCGCGCGAGGCCCGGCGCCTCGCCGCGGGCGCCATGGCCGTCTACGAGACCTACCTCTGCCCGCAGTGCCTCGCCGCCTACCTGCGCGACGTCTACGACGAACTGCGCGACCGCTTCGCGCTCGCGTCGATCCTCGACGGCGGCGACGACCCGCGGCGCTTCCTGCGCTCCCTCGCGTGCGCGGGCGCGCCCGTCGCCTTCCGCGAGGTCGTCGAGGCGAGCGACCGCGCCGACGGCCTCGCGACCGCGCCCGTGGACTTGGACCCCTGTTAACGCCTACTTGTCCTTGCCGAAGAGCGGCGTGCCGACGCCGACGTCGCGCTCGGCGACCGCGTCGTCGTCGGCCTCGCCGGCCGCCGCGCCGGCGTCCTCGCCGACGGCGCCCTCGTCGACGGCGAGCTCCTCGGCGTCGCCGCCCGCGGGCCGCTCCTTCTTGAAGGGGTCGCCGAGGGGCGCCGTGAGCGAATCGAATTGCTCGTCGGGCAGCGACATGTACACGGCGTTGGCGACGCCCACGAGCACGACGATGGACAGCACGGGGAACGCGTTGACGGCGTCGAAGGTCACCTGCGTGCCGCCGACGTCGTAGAGGTCCACGGCCCGCACCGGCGGCGACCGGCAGGGCTTGGCGGCGCGGAGCGGGCGGAGCGCCGGGCGGCTGAAGGCCCGCGCCTGCGACGCGAGCAGGAGCGACACGACGGCGCGCACGGAGAACATTGTGCAACGATGGATTGCCGACGGCGTTGCTGCGGCGGCGTCGAGCACGAGCACTGCCGGAGATCGAGATCTGCCGCCAAGCTCAAGTTTCGCGGATCAACATGCTGTTCAACCCTCCGAAAGTTGACTTTCCGGCTCGAGTGAACAATGATGCGCGGCGGGCAGCCCTAGTTTTGCGTCGTCGCCGCAGCACATCGGATGTACGGCTCCACGGCGAAGCATGCGGACGACGAGGCGCCGGGCATGGAGATCCGCGCCGTGGACCTCGGCTTCGCGTCCACGGCCGCGTCCGTGTCGTCGTCGTCGTCGTCGTCGCTGCCGCAGCGCCATCGGCACCTCGAGCTCCACGACGTGAGCTTCGCCGCCGACGCCGGCGAGGTGTTGTTCTGCGTCGGCGCCGCGGGGAGCTGGGGCCGGAGCTTGCTCGAACTGCTCGCGGACCGGAAGACGAGCGGGCGGCGCTACGGGCGAGTCTTGTACGACGGCGCGGACGTCGCGGGCAAGATGCGCCGCGCGGCGGCGCTCGTGAGCGACGACGGGTCCCTGGAGTCGCTGAGCGTGCTGCGGACGCTGGAGGTCGTCACCTACGCCGCGCGGCTGAGCGGCGCGGCGGACCCGGCGGGCCGCGCGAAAGCGGTATTGGACAAGCTCCGCCTCGGCGCCGTCGCGGACACGATCGTCGGCAACGCGACGATCAAGTCGCTGAGCGGCGGCGAGCGGAAGCGGCTGACCATCGCCGTCGGTCTGGTGGCGCCGCGCGTGCGCGGCCTGCTCCTCGACGAGCCCACGTCGGGCCTCGACTCCGCTACCGCGCTCGAGGTCATGAGCCACGTCCGCGGCGCCGTCGCCAAGGGCCTGGGCAAGACGACGGTGGCCTACGTCCAGGGCGCGTCGGGCGCGCTCCTCGCGCGGGCCGCGGACCGCCTGCTCGTCTTTGTGGAAGGCCGCCTCGCGTTCCGCGGGTCCGCGGCGTCCGCGAAGACGTTCTTCGCCGCGGCGCCCCACGGCTGCGCCATGGCGCCCGGCGAGAACGTCGCGGAGCTGCTGGTGGACGTCGCCAACCGGTCGCGCCTCGGCCGCGACGGCGCGGCCCACGCGCGGGCCTGGGAGCACCGGCGGCCGAGGGAGCGCGTGCCTGTTGATGCTTTTAAAGCCGCCGCCTTTTCGGAGTACGAGGCCGACCCGCCCTTCGCCCTCCAGTTCCACGCCTCCGTCGCCCGCGCCCTGGTCGTCTTCGCGCGGTCGACGTCGCTCTGGGGCGCGGGGCTGCTGAAGGCGGGCTGGATCGCGATGATCTACTCGGCGACGTTCAAGAACCAGAACATGAATTCGACGGGCGCCGCCAACCTCGAGTCGCTCTTCTACTTTTCGCTGATGTTCGCCATCCTCGGGAACCTCGACGCCATCTCCCAGTTCTTCGAGACCGCGGCGCTCTACCGGCGCGAGCGCGCGGACGGCCGGTCGTCGCCCCTCGTCTACTTCTGCGCGTCGAACGCCGCGACGGTGCCCTGGGTCATGGTCCTCTCGCTGGGCTTCGCGACGACGAACTTCTGGTCCGCGGGCGCGGGCCAGGCACCCGGCGCGGGCTGGGTCTACCTGTTCTACGCGGCGCTCGCGGTTTTAGTGAACGTCGGCGGCTCCGCGTGGAGCCAGCTCCTGTGCCGAAACCAAATCTTCAACCAGACTTCAATGTGAGCGTATTCGAATGTCTTGACACAAGCTCTTCGGCTGGGCTTCGAGAACTCGACGAGAGCGATCGATCCGTCCAAAAATCAGCCGAATCGACTTCGATGTGACCGAGATAGAGAATTCTCAAGTTTGGTCAGGACCACCCAAACCAGTGGTTGGTTTCGGCACAGGCCAGCTCATGTCGCTCATCGCGCCGTCGCGCGAGGTCGCGCTCGTGTTCTGGCAGCCGGCGAACTACTTCTTCGCCCAGACGTCGGGCTACCCGGTCCACCTCAACGCCGTGTCGGAGTACAACCCGGCGAAGCCGCTCATGCTCGTCAGTTTCACGCGGTGGGCCTACGAGGCGATCATCGCGGGCGTCTTCCATCGGGGCTGGGGGGAGGACCTTTCGAGGTCGGACATCTTCGCGTCTTTTGGGTACCCGGACTACCTCAAGCTCTGGCAGCCCGTCTTGCCCGTCGTCGCGTTCGTCGTCGCCGTCAAGGCCGCGATGGTGCCGCTGCTCAGCGCGGACGAGCGCGGCACGCGCGACGACCTCTCGGCGCGCGACGCGGTGGCCGTCGCGCCGCGGCCGCCGCCCGTCGCGTCGCCCCTGCCGCAGAAGGCCGAGCCCTATAAGGACGTCGACGCGGACGTCGAGAAGGGCGCGGCGACGACCGTCGTCGCGGTCGCCGGCGTCGACTACTCGGTCCGCCTCCCCGACGGCGCGGTCCGGCCCATCCTCGCGGACGTCGCCTTCAAGGCCGACGGCCTCACGGCGGTCATGGGCCCGAGCGGCGCGGGCAAATCGACGCTCCTCGACGTCGTCGCCGGCCGCAAGACGACGGGCTTCGGGCGGGGGTCGATCCTCTACGACGGCGTCCACCCGACGGCCGAGGACCGGAAGCGGCTCCAGGTCTACGTGATGCAGAACGACGTGTCCCTGGGCACGCTGAGCGTCGAGGAGACGCTGGCCGTCGCCGCGGCGCTGCGCGCGCGCGACGGCGACGTCGGCGGCGCCGTACGGCGCGCGCTCCACCTGTTGGACCTCGCGCCGGCCGCGGGCCGCCTCGTCGCCGACGCGAGCGCCTGCGAGCGGCGCCTCCTCTCCGTCGCCGTCGAGTTCGTCACGCTCCCCGCCGTCGCCTTTCTGGACGAGCCGACGTCGAATCTCGACGCCGCGGCCGCGGCGTGCTTCTTCGCGTGTTTGCGGCGCGCGCTTTCGGCGACGACGGTGCTCTGCACGGTGCACCAGCCGTCGAGCGACGTCTTCGCCGCCTTCTCCCACGTGCTGGCCGTCGGCGGCGGGCGCATCCTGTACGACGGGAGCCCGGCGGAGCGCGCGCGACTTCGCGGCCGCGCGCCTCGCGGACGTCGACGCGGAGCTGAGCGCCGCGGAGCTCGTCATCGCGTTCTGCCTCGAGGCGCCGACGCTCTCCGCGAAGAACGGCGGCAAGGTCGCGCCGCCGGAGGCCGGGGGCTACGACCTCGACCGCGACGGCGGGCGATTCTCCGCCGTCGACGACGCCGCGGGCCCCGCGATCGCCCGGCGCCTGGCGAACTTTTGCCACGAGACGCGCACGCTCATGGCCCGCAACGCCATCGTGCGCGCGCGCAAGCGCCGGGCGTTGGTCGCGTCCGTCGCGAGGAACGTCATCGTCGCGGTCTGGTACGGCACGGTCTACTGGAAATGCGACGCGCACGGCGTCGCGTCCGTGTCCTACTTCTCCCTCCAGTTCGTCGCCATGTCGAACATGCTCGCCGTGACGACTTTGTTCGAGGAGCGGCCCCTGTTCTACCGGGAGCTCGCGGCGCGCGACTACGGCCCGGCGGCGTACGTCGTCGCGCACTCGCTGGTCAACGCGGCCTACCAGGTGCCGCTGGTGCTGCTCTACTGCGCGGTCTGCTTCCCCATGGTGGGGCTGCGCACCGACGGCGACCACTTCTTCTTCGCCTACGCGGCGCTCTACGTCGTCGCTTTGATCGGCTTCGTCTTCTCCGCGACGCTCGCGGCCGCGGCGCCGCGCGTGCAGGTGGCGCTGAACATGTACTCGACGCTCTTCCAGTTCAACCTCTTCTTCAGCGGCTACAGCATCCCCGTGAGCCAGGTCAAGTGGTACTTCCACTGGGCGACGCAGACGTCCTTCGCGCGGCCCGCGTTCGACGCGCTGCTCGTCAACGAGCTCCGCGGCGTCGAGTCCTACGACGACGACGAGGACGCGGACTACTGGCTCGACTACTGGGGGCTCGAGGGCAAGAGCCGCATGCTCTACCTCGGCCAGCTCCTGTTGGTCGCCGCGGTCGTCCACGCGCTCGCCCTCCTCGCCGCGACGCTCTGCAACTTCCAGCGCCAATAAGGAATCTAGAGACCCGGCGGGAGGGGCGTACCGGCGTGTCGCCGACGCCCTTACCTCGCCCGGCGCGCTCGCGTACGACAGCCTCGCCGGCGACGGGGTCGAAGGTGAAGGGAATTCTCCGAATCCGGACGCTGAAGCAGCCCACGATGGAGCTCGACACGCCTTTGCTAGGCGGTCGCTCCCGGCTCTATCTGAGGCAGGGCCGGCGCCTCATATTCATCTTCCTCGCCGGCGCCGGCGCGTTCCTCGGCCTCGACGGCTTCGCCTCGACCGGACCGCGCGGCGCCCTCCTCGACGGCCGCGGCCGGGCGGCGGACGACGCGGCCCCGACGGCGGACGAGCTGCGCGGCTACAACAGCTGCGCGGCGGCGGCGACGGGCGAGGTCACCTGCACCCTCGACCCGCGCGCGTTCCTCGAATTCGGGAGCGTGCGCGCGTCCTTGGCGCGGTCCGGCGTCAAGAGCGACGCCGAGGCGCTCGACGGCTACCTGCCGCGCGCCGTCGTCACGACCTGGGACCCGGCCCTCGTCGGCGACCACTTCGACGGCGGCCGCGTCGCCTACGCGCTCTACCTGCCGTCGGGCAAGGGCTCGAACGCCACCGTCGCGTCGTACGTCGTCGTCGCGGCGCTCGACGGGACGCCCCGCAACGTCGTCGAGGCGCGCGACTGGGACGACGGCGTCGGCTCGACGCACGTCGACGGTCTGAAGGTGCTGAATCCGGACGCTCTCTTGCTGAACAGCAACGAGTGGGACACGGAGTACGGGAGGGGGTACGCGTGGACGTGGGACGGCGGCGGCCTCATGCGCTTCAACGACAACCTGCTGTCGTCGTCCCACGACATCCAGATGGCCTACGAGCCCGACTCGCCCCTGGCGTCGTCCTACTGGATCCCCGCGAAGACGAAGCTGCGGCGCGTCGACACGGACAGCGGGGAGATTCTGGAAATGTTCGCGTTCGACTCCGGCGACCACGACATGAACCACTGCCAGCTCATCGACGGCGACGACACGGCGATCTTATCTTTTCGGCTGACGAACGGCGTCAAGCGCTACCACCTCGGGAGCCGACAGACGATCTGGACCGCCGGCGGCTCCGAGGGCACGCTGGACGTCGTCGACGAGGCGGGCACGAACCTCGGCCCCCACGCGACGCTCTGGAGGGGCCAGCACAACGCGGAGTGGTTCGGCGACGACACGTTCTACGCCTTCGACAACCAGTACAACACGACGCGCCCGAGCCGCGTCGTCAAGGTCGAAGTCGACACCGTGAAAAACACGGCGACGTTGGCGTGGTCCTACGTCTTCTTCGACGCCTACCCCGAGGGCCAGTCCGGCGAGTTCGGCGACGCGGACCTCCTGCCGAGCGGCAACGTGCTCGCGTCGTGGTGGCCGGGGAAGCTGAAACCCGCGGCGGGGCTCGACTTCGACGTGCAGATGATCGAGGTCACGGAGGACAAGCGCCGCGCCTGGTCCATGTCCTTCATCAACGCGGGCCCGGGGCTCGAGGGCACGGACGGCCTCGACCGCGACACGGCCTACGGCTGGAAGCTCTACTCCGCGGAGCGCTTCTACGACGCGCCCGTCGTCGACGGCGACGCGGCGCGCCTGAGCGGCGGCGCCCTCGCCTTCACGGCCCACTCGGCCTTCAAGCGCCAGAACACGTCGCCGGCGTCCTGGCGCCTGACGGACGCGAACGGCGTCGAGTACGGCGCGGGCGGCTTCGACTTCCCCGCCTACTGGCGCGGCGCGGACGTGGCCGCGGCGGTGGACGTGCCCGACGGCGTCGACGACCTCGCACTGGCCGTGACCGACGAGTTCGGCCGGACGAGGCGGGTGCGCGTCGCGCGGCGATAAGCGTGATCATGTGTCCTTCAAGGTGAAGAATGGGTTTGCGGTGCATCGCTGTCAGCCAGCCTTAGCCAAGGCTGCCCCGCGTCACGACGACGATGGCGCCCTCGAAGAAGGCCTCCGTGGGCATCGTGTTCGTGGGCATGATGCTGACGAAGTACCACGACATGATGATCACGATGCTGCCCAAGCCGCTCGATGCCATGGCGCTGCGGATGTACTACCCGGACATGGAGACGCGCATGAACACGCTGACGGCGGACGAGGTCGAATTGCCGCACATTACCTACGGGCTGCCCATGGATCCGCTGAAGGAGGGCGAGACGCTCGACAAGATTTTCCACCCCCGCGGCTTTCCGACGCTCCTCAAGGGGGCGTTCGTCAAGGACCAGGACGAGGTCGTCGCGTTCCTGTCCGAGAAGAACAAGGGCAAGCAGATGCGCATGCTCAACTTCGAGAAGTACACGGACCCGCACTTTTCCATCTCCTGCGTCAAGGGCCTGGACGAGGTGATGACGGATTTCGACCAGTACGCGCGCGACAACCTCTTCACGAACTACTCGCGCGAGGGCAGCCCGTACTACGCGGGCTTCGAGGCGATCACGGACACCGAGGACGTCGAGAAGGTGCTCGGCATCAAGTCGGACCAGATGGGCGGCCGCGACTACAAGATGAACAACCTCTTCACGTCGAACTTCCAGAACGACACGGCGTCGGCCGGCCTCCACTGCGCGCCGATCGACTCGCTGTCCATCCAGCTCGTCGGGACGAAGACCTGGTACTTCGTCGGGCCCGACGACCTCAAGGACATCCCGTCCACGCCCCTGCCCACGTTCATGCCCTTCCCCCACACCGACGACGAGCTCCTCAAGAAGGTCAAGCACGTCCACGTCGTCAAGCAGGAGCCGGGCGACGCCATCTATTTCGGGCCCAACTGGTGCCACTCCGTCTGGACCGACGCGGGACCGAACGTCATGTTCAACCTCCGCTACCAGTCGCCGAAGCTGCTCAAGGGCGGCCCCAAGTACCTCTTCTTCAAGGCGCTGTTCCGGGGGATCAAGCACGGGTTCAAGTTCGGCAAGAACCCGCAGGACAACCGCGTCATCTTCGGCGACATCTACGAGTACCTCAACCACTACTTCACGGAGTGCGGGCCGTCCAAGTCCGCGGAGAAACTTTTCGCGACGGCGAAGCTCGCGCCGTGACGCGGGCACTAAATATGATAACCACAGCTACAGCCTCGCGCACGCAATAACTGTCCGTCTCGTTTTACACGGGGAGGAGGGCTATGGAAAGCAGGTAGATGCGGGAAAATATGCCATATTGGGCGGAGGTGCGGGGACTGGGCCAGAGAGGCCTCTGCTGCGCCTCCGTCGCGCGCCCGAAAGCTCCCCTCGCGTGGAACGGGAGGCGATCAGACGCGGCTCGAAGTTGACGTTCAACGTGACCTTCGAGGGCCAAAGTGACGGTTGCGATGCGCCGCGATCGGGCGCGAGGCGATGTCGTCCCGCACATGCACGGACGTTGTTTCGGACTTGAGTACGAGGTCACATCGTGTGTGTTGTTTGACTTCGTGCGTGCGCTGCGGCGCCCGCACCGCCTGCAGTTTGAAGACCACTGACGGCCGCGCACGAGAGGCGCGAGTGTCGAGCCCCTCGGGCACCGCCTAGCTCGCCCCGCAGAGCCCGGAACGAACATCACACATCATCGTAGCCGCTCGCGCTCGACGAACGATCGTTGAGGTTACGAGTTTCGTTCATCTGTCCGCGCGCGCGGCGCGCCGGCTCCGCTCGTTTCACCGAGACGACCTCGGCCGCGCTCGCGCGCGACTCACATCGCCCGACGGCGCGACCCGCCGCGCCCGGGTCCGCATGGGTTTGGTACACCCTGCGAACCAATTTTCTGGCCAAGACGCGCGCGCTGACGCGCGAAAGCCGTGTTTCGATTCGTTTCGAAAGCCCCCGGGGGGGGTCCCACGCGCGGCGCGCGGCACCAGCGGCGAGTTAGCGTACGTAGAATATAACTTACCTGAGGAATACCCCAATTGAAACGTCGGTCCAGACCGCGTCGATTTTGGTTACGATGGCAAGACGCTATGTTTTTTCCTAAACTCCCGGAGGACACAGACACACCACCGTGCTATTAGTGGAAACTTCTGCTCCGCTACGCTTCCCAAATTCTCACTCTACGAGTTGCGAATTACAGGGAAGGCGCAGCGTGCGCTATTATAGTCTAGGAGCGCGCGGATCGCCGCGGCGGCCGGCGCGCCCATGTCCCGCGGCACGCAGAGGCGGTCGTCGAGGTAGGCCGCGACGCGCCGCCCCGCGGCGTCGTCGCCGAGCGCCGCGCCCTCGTGGAGCGCCGCGGCGACGGCCAGCAGGCCGCCCTCCGCGTCGTCGACGCCGAAGCGCGCCGCGTCCGCGACGAGCGCGTCCCGGTTGCGGACGACGGCGGCGGCCGCCTCGCGCGCGGGCGTCGACGCGACGTAGTCCCGCGTCGCCGCGTAGTCGTCCCAGATCGCCGCGCCGCGCGTCGCGATCTCGTCGTCGAAGGCGCTCCCCGACGACAGGAGCTCGGGCACGCCGCCGGCGTTCCCGAAGCCCGCCTGATCGAGGACCTTGGCCCAGCTCGCCGCGTCGCCCCGCACGCGGCAGCAGTAGGCCGGCACGCGCTCCTCGAGGGCGTCGTACCACCGCGCCAGCGACGGGTATTTCGACGCGTCGCGCGGCCGCAGGCCGTCGTGCAGGAGCGGCAGCTGCGCCGCGTAGCGCTCGAGGAACGGCGCCCACGCGACGTCCGCCGCCGACAGGTCCGCGCCGGCGAAGAAGGGCCCGCCGCGCTCCTCGAGCAGCGCGTCCGTCTTCTCCAGCGTCTCCTCGAATGCCGCGCGGAACACGGGCGCGCCCGACGACCTACCGAATGCGTCGGTAACAATCTTCTATTCCGGTCAAAATCTCTCGAAACGAACATCGCCACGGTCGCGGGACGCTGCCGACGACCGGAAGAGGAACGCCGCGCGCGACGACGGCCGCGTCTGGCGCGGGAAGCAGTCGCGGAACGCGGCCACCAATTTTTGCGCGTCCGGCGGCCCGTAGAGCCGGGGGCCGTCGCCGTAGCGGTCGTCGATGGCCCGGACGATGTCCATGGACTCGCCCATGTCCGAGCCGTCGGGCCAGCGGAGCCGCGGCGTCGTCGACCCGAACCACGAGGGCCGCCCGCCGCCCGTGTTGTCGATGAGCACGGTCGCGAAGGGCAGGTTCTTGCACTCGAGCGCGAGCCAGACGCGCTCGCTGTAGGGGCACCAGCCGTTGCGCTCGCGGTAGAGCACGATGGTGTCGTCGGGCAGCGGCGGCGGGCTCGACCGGTGATGCACGGCGTCGATGATCGTCGGTGGTGGTGCTTTTGGGAGCTGCGCGTCCAGGGCCTGCCAGGTGAGGGCGTTTGTTGGAATGATGAGCCAGGTAATGGTGCAGAGCATGACGACGTTGCGTGGGTGCATGGTTGCGCTTGCGGAGGTGCTCATCGTGCTCGGAGAGCGCTTCAAGGAGTTGATGATGTTGATGATGGCGCTCACGTGCAGTCTCACCACATCGACCAAGCACGGCGCCTCGACCGCGCCGCGCATCCTCGACGAAGGAGCGTCGTTTTCGCGAATCGTCGGCGCGCGCAGCGCGTCAAAGAACGCTTCGCGCCCTTGGCCGCGCCGCCGCCCCGAGCCACCCGAAGCACACACCCAGCGAAGGCACGCGCGACTGAGCACATGCCGCGCTCGGGCTCGAGCCGCAAGGCCAAGTCCGCGGACCGCGTCACCTACCTCCCGCCGAAGGAGCAGTCGACGTCCCGCCCGTCGTCGGCCCCGAGCCTCCAGCAGGTGCTCCGCGCCGGCGGCGAGGCGCCGGAGGCCGCGCGGCCGCAGGCGTGGGCCGTGGGCCTCAACCGCGTGACGCTCGCGTTCTCCAACGGCGCGCTCGACGTCGAGTGGCGGCGCCTCGTCGCGAACCGCACGCGGGCGCTCTGGATGCGGTCGCTGCTGTCCGCCGTCGTCTACCAGGCGCTGCGGCACGCCGCGGATTTGGCGGAGTTCGGCGGGTCGACGACGTCGACGATCGTCTGCCGGCTGTGTCTGGCCTGCTTCCAGCTGACGATCTACTGCCTGGCCTACTTTGACCTGGTAGCCCCGAGCCAGTGGGCCATCGCGCTCAACGCGTTTTCCTATGGAGTCGTGGAGCTCCTCCTCCTCGTGCGCGCTTTATCGCCGCGCGTGAAGCCGGGCGACTGGCTCCAGATCTGCTACGGGTTGGCCTGGTTCGTCGTGCCCAAGATGTCGGCGCTCCAGTTCTTCCCCGCCTGCGTCGGGTCGTTGGGCATCGTCGCCTGGTGGACCTTCCTGTCGTGCGTGACGACGTTGCCGTCCTCGGGCGATTTCCTCGCGGACGTCGCGAACGTCGCCGCGCGCCTCGCGATGCCCTGGCGCGAGTCGCGGCGCCGCGCCGCGCGGGCGGCGGCCTGCGCCGGCGTGCACTGCGCGCGGGAGGCCCTGCGGGCCCTGGAGCGGGGCGGCGACGCCGGGAGTTCGGCGCGGACGTCGTGGGCCGATCTGACGGCGGGCATGGCTTTGGTGATCCCCGTGGTCTTCCTCTTCAACGTCGTCGCCTACTCGTCGGAGAAGTCCGTCAAGGAGCGCTTCGTGCTCCGGTCGGCCCTGGCCCACGAGCACAACCACGACGTGCGGCTCAGCCTCCTGTCCGAGGACGTGTCGTCGATGGTCGCGCGCATCTCGGCCGTCGTCACGCGCTCGACGAACGACGACGAGCGGACCTACGCCCACTCCCAGGAGCGGCTGCTGCTGGCGTCGCTGCCCTGCTTCCTGCTGGCGCTCCTGGGCTGGTTCCCGTCGGCGCAGCGGCTCTTCGGGGACCTCGTCGCGTCGTCGTTCGGCGCTGTGTGGAATTCAACCACTGGTTTGGGTGGTCCTGACCAAACTTGAGAATTCTCTAGCTCGATCAAATCGAAGTCGATTCGGCTGATTTTTGGACGAATCGATCGCTCTCGTCGAGTTCTCGAAGCACGGCCGCAGAGCTTGCGTCGAACCTGTCGCATATGCGCACATTGAAGTCGGGTTGAAGATTTGAATTCCACACAGGTTCGGCGGCGCGGCGGGCGCGTGGGCCGCGCTCACGCACGTCGCGGGCCTGACGCTGTTCCTCCTCGTGCTCACGCGGCGCGTGACCTTCCTGATTCTGACGCCGCTGGTGTTCGCGTCCGTGCTCTACCTGACGGCGCAGCTCTTCGGCCCGGGCTACGCGGCGCCCGTCTTCCGGGGCTTCGGTTCGACGGTCGTGCTCGTCGCGTTCGCGGTCGCGCTGGGCTTCTCCTACCGGGGCATGCGCCTCTTCGCGGCGCTGCTGGCCTTCGCGCGGAAGACGCTGTTCCTCCACCCGGAGCTCCAGGAGGACCTGGGCACGGGCGCGGAGAAGGAGGTGCTGAGCCGGCTGGTCTCCGCCGTCGACCTGCCGCGGCCGCCGTCCGCGGGCGCGGTCAAGGAAGCGCTGGGACCCGAGACGCCGCCGGCGCCGGACCGGGCTCTAGACCCCGGGCAGCCCAACGACTGGTCCCTGTGCTCCCTGCCGTCCGACGACGCGCTGTCGTCGCGGACGAACTCGGAGACGGCGCTCTCCGCGTCCGAGCCGCGGCCGAAGCGGCTGCCCGTGCTCGCGCTCGGCGCGACGGAGATGTCCTGCTCCTTCTGCTCCCACGACAAGGCCGGCGACTGCCTCGCGACGCACGCCGTGCCCGTGTGCTCGTCCTGGGCGCGCTGGTACCTCTCGACGGCCGAAAGGCTCGCGGTCCGCGACCGCCGGCGGAGCGAGCTCGGCGAGCGGCCGCCGTCGCCGGCGACGCTCGAGCCGGGGCCCCGGCCCTGCTGCGACTTCGCCGCGCTCGCGCTGGAGCGCGTCGCGCTCCACCGCGAGAACGCGCAGCTCAAGGCCCAGGTCGCGCGGCTCCAGCGCGGCGCCGTAAGCGGCTAAGGGGCGGGCGCGCCTTCGCGAAGGGGCATTACGAGGTCCTCGGCGACGACGGAAGGACACAGGGGGGGGCGCGGACGCGCTACATGACGGCGCAGGCGCAGCCTCGCTCCGGCGGCGGCGGGAGGAGCGGGTCCTCGTCGTCGCCGGCGACGGCGAGGACGCCGTCGAGCACGGCGCGCGCGTGGGACATGGTGCACCGGTCGTCCTGGTCCGGGTGCCAGGCCTGGGCCAACAGGCTGCGGAAGGGCGCCTTCCACGTCTGCGGGATCGGGGGCCGCGCGCCGCGCTCGACGACGCGCGCCGCGTGCTCTTTTCGGCTGTACTCGCGGAACGGCCGCCCGGCGAGCGCCGCGACCTCGAAGGCGACCACCGCGAAGGAGTAGACGTCCGCGGCGACCTACCGAGCGCGACGGTGTCTCGTCGTGTTCCCGCCCCGCATCTCTCGAAAATCGTCGCGGCCACGGGACTCTGGCGGCGACGCCGTAGGGCAGGTCGCGGCAGATCTCCGGCGCCATGTAGCGCCGCGAGCCCGTGCCGCCCGTGAGCTCGTAGCGGCCCGTCGCGCGGTTCGTGTCCTTGCGCAGCGCGACGGCCAGCCCAAAGTCCAGCAGCTTCAGCTGGCCCGCGTCCGTCAGCCCCAGGTTGTCCGGCTTCAGGTCCCGGTGGAGCACGACGGTCGCCGGGATGGCCGCGCCGCTGTGGAGGAAGTCGAGCGCGGACGCGAACTCCGAGAGCAGCCGCAGCCGCTCCAGCGACGGCCAGGCCAGCCGCACGCGCCGGGCCGCGCCGTCGTCGCCGCCGACCTCGCGCAGCTCCAGCGCCCGCGTCACGTCCGTCTCGCACCAGCTCAGCAGGAGGCAGGGCAGGTTGTCCCTCGTCGTCCCGCAGCCGAGCGTCTCGCAGACGTGCTCGTGGCGGATGCGCCCCAGGAAGTGGACCTCGCGCACGAAGGCCGCGCACTCGTCGTCGAGGAAGGCGAGCTCCTTGCGCAGCACCTTGAGCGCGAAGGTCTCGCCCGCGCGGCGGCCGAAGGGCACGCGGCACCGGAACACGGCCGCCTGGCTGCCCCGGCCGACGGGCGCCTCGGAGACGTCCGCGAGCCCCGCCGCGTCGAAGGACGGGATGACGAAGCCGTCGTCCAGGAGGTGCCGCGGCAGCGCCCGCCGCGTACTGTGCACGTCGTCCTCGCCGCCCTCGCCGAAGTCGTCCTCGATGCTGAACGTCGGGTCGTGCTCGTGCCGCACGCTGAGGCGCCGCCCGTCGAGCCAGTCGGGCGTCTCGCCGGGCTCGCGGACGAAGAAGGACGTGCGGTGCGTCTGCTTCCGCCGCGTCATGTGCGCCTCCGCCTCGTCGATGACGCCCCACATCTCGAGCACGGACGTCTTGGAATGCCGCTTCGGCGGGGCAGCCTCGGCCTTGGCGCCTGTGAAGAACTGGACCAGCGACTGGCGCTTGCTCGGCCGCCGCGGCTCCGGGGCCGCCTCGACCATGATCGCCGACGACTCGACGCCGCGGGGGTCGTCCATGGCCGCGGCACGCGCGGCGGCAGCCGCCTAGTTCTTGTTGAGATGGCTTCCAGAGATTCACTCGTTCGGGGCAGTTGCAGATATTTTAAGATTCAGCTTCTTTCGTTGTCTTGTGCAAGTTGGCGAATGCAAAAACTCGCTCCGGACCGGAGGGAGGACGCGGGCACCAGCTTCGCCGGCTTCGCCAGTTGAGGGCAGCTTCGAAGCCAGTCAGAAACCGGCGAAACCGGCGAAGCCAGTCACCGCGACCTCCCTCTGCCCCGGACTCGGACGCTCTTGCCCTGGTCTGAGTGTTCCTACACGGGTCTCACGCCCCCGGAACTTTAAAACTCGCACTTACTTACCGCCGCGGCTTCTTCTTCTCCTTGACGACGAATCGCGACGGCTGGAAGCCGCCGCGCTTCCCGCCGGTCGGCGCCGCGGCCGGCGCGTCGTCGCCGCCGCCGCCGCCCGGCGCCCGGGGCTCGAAGTGGGAGACGAGGTCGTCGTAGAGGTTGCTCGTGTTGCGGGCGAGCGGGAAGCCGGCCGTGAGAACAGTCCCCCCGTCCTCGAACCGCAGCTCGAGTCGCACCGGGTCGTCCGGCGCCGCGAACGCGAGGCGCGGCCGCGCGCGCAGCGCCGCGGCCAGGTCCGCCGCGAAGCCGTTGGCGCCGTTGTCGTCGTCGTACTCGAAGGGCAAGTCGTCCCGCATCGCCGCGAGCGCCGCGTCGTCGAGCGACGCGCGCACGTAGCCGTCGTTTTTGACGAGCGCGCTCACGTGCAGCGCGTCCGCCTCGGCGCGGAAGAGCACGAAGGCGCTCGCGCCCGAGTCCGTCTCCACGGACCAGTGCTGCACGAGCCGGTCGTCGCCCAGCGCGCGGCGCACCGCGGCGCATAGGCCCGCTGTGGAGGTGGCCATTGCGATGCGCTCGCGCGGCGCTCCAATCGATGCGCTCGCGCGCGAATCGACTGAGGCCTCGACGGTGGTGGCGCGCGGCGAGAACGGCTGCGCGCGCGGCAGCGGCGGCGATGCGCGCGCGCGTGGACGGTCGATGGCTCGAGTGGAATTCAGCAAAGGCTCGGGTCGGTCGCTCGGAGCCGCTCGACGCCCGTCGATCGATCGGCTCCCCGGGGCTCATGGGCCAAGCGCATTAGCTTTCGGAGAGGGCCACGGGAAAGGGGAAAGCGAGCTCCAGGACGTGCGCGAAGAGCGGCGCGGGAAGCCGCTCGACGGCGCGAAGCGCGCCGGTTCGCTGGAGGTGCGCGATGACGCGAAACGCGAGCCAGCGGCGCGCCGACTTCGCGAAGATGTCGAGCGCACGATTCGTGTAGCACGCGTACATCTCGAATGTCGGGCAGTCATCACGATCGCCCAGGCGGAGCGCGGGCCACGCGCGGAGCAGGGAGGCCGGGACGTCGAGCGAGAGGTCCAGGTCGTCGATGCCCGAGGCGGTAGCGTGCGCGCTCAGGAAACGGCTCCGGTACGGGGAAGTGTTCCACATTCGGACATGTTTGATGATATCATGTATGTCGCCATGATAAAATCGCAGTCCCTCTTCCTGGTCTTGCCACAGCCGCGCCTCGTCGTCGCTCGTCGGCTCCGACTCGCCCTCGCCGTCGCTCTCGCGCGACGATTCGCTGTCGAGGTCCGAGGGACGCATACTTGCGTCGTCGTCGTCGTCGCTTTCGAAGACGTCGGCGCGCAGATGAGACGCGCGAGCGCGGACCGCGAAGGGCAGCTCGGCCGCGGCCGCGCCGATGCTCAGCATGTGCAGCTCGACCGCGCGTAGCATGAGAACGCTCGTGATCGGGAAGTAGCCGTGCCGAGCATCGCGGGCGAGGTCCACGAGCTTATCGAAGACGCCCTCGCCAAAGTCCCGAAGGCACGAGGTGGCCAGCTCGTCGAATCCGTCCGACGAGGGAAACTCGCGGTAGACGAACTCGGTAAGCACGCTTTCGCGCAGCAGTTCGGTAAAGTTACCACCTCGAGCGGAGGCGAAGGGCTCGGCGCAGTAATAATAATCCACGTACTCTTTCGGATTTAACCTCCATCCGTGTCGCCCACGTACGCGTCCTCGAGCCCGACGCACCCTTGCCGGACGAGCGCGAACTGCGCCGCGCGAAACTGCGTCATACCGAGCCCAGCAAAGAAGCTCAGCTCTTTTGTTTTGGAATAGTCGTCGACCCAGTCATACTCGGCCTCGTCGTCCGTATCGAAATTCGCATTTTCCAAGACCAGGAGCTCCGCCGCGGCCTCCGAGACGTCCTGATCGTCGTCGTCGCCGTCGCCGTCGCGATCAAGTTCCCGCCGCTGGCGAAGGAGCGACGCGAATTGCGGTACCATGTGTGACACGGGCGACGGCAGCCGGGAGACCATTCTTCGCTCCCCTGGGATTCTTTGCTCCCCTGGGAAGCCCACGGCGGCGCCGGCCTGGGCCATCGCCGCACGTGGGTCGAGGCCCTCCCTTGCCGGTACTGTTGGGCCATGCTTTGGGTCTCGTGGCGGCAGACACACGCTTCTACAGACGGCGGCGCGGAGCAGTCGGGCGTCGGCGTCCTCCTGTTTACTAGTAACTTTTGTGGTGAGATTTTCGAGCTCTCGCCATGATCCGCGCATTCTTCCTCGCCCTCGCGGCCGCCGCATCCTCCAACGAGGACTACGACCGGGGCGTCGCGCTGCGAGCGGCGGGCCATCCCGAGGAGGCCCGCGTCGCGTTCTGGAAAGCGTCGCAGGCCGGCGTCGAGGGCGCTCTCGAGCTCTGCATCGCCTCGTTCAAGGACACGGGCGAGGAGTGGGCGTTCTACGCCCACGTCGCCCACCTCGTCGCCGACGACGCCGCCCGCAAGTGCGGCCTCCTGCTCAAGGCCGCGGACGTCGCGCGCGGCGAGCTCGGCGGCGACGCGGCGAACCGCGAGCGCGTCGGCGCGCTCGCGGCGACCGCGGCGAACGAGTGCCCGGACCTCGGCGCCCACGCGATCCTGGCGGACCTCCGGGTCCTCCTCGGCGACGCCCGGACGCCCGTGGACCGGCTCCTGCCGCTCCTCGCGCGCGGCGACCACGCGGAAGCGCTCCGCCTGCTCCCGGACTTGATCGCGACGCGGCGGCCGGGCTCGCCCGAGGAGCTCCAGCTCGTCTCCGAGGAGGTGCACCTCCGCGCGAAGACCGTGGCCTGGGGCGACGACCCGGCGGCGTACCTCGCCTACCTGGACCGCTACGCGGCGATGGCGCGGAACTTCACGTCGCGGGCCGACGGCGTCGCGCAGGGCGCGCTCAAGGTCGGCTTCCTCCACTACCTGCCGTCCTTCTCCCCGGAGCTGCTCCTGCAGGTCGCCTTCGCCGAGGCGCGGGCGGAGGTCCTCATCGCCGCGAGCAAGTGGGCCGCGGCGCCGTTCGAGCCGCCGGCCCCCGCGGCCGACGGCAAGCTCCGCGTCGGCGTCGTCGCGAGCCGCCTCCGCGGGTCGGCGCTGTCCCTGCTCGTCCGCGACGTGCTCGCCGAGCTCGCGGCTTTCGAGGATGTGCACCTGACGGTCTACGACGTCGCGCCCGACGGGTCGGACGACGGCGACCCCTGGTACGAAAAGATGCGGGCCGCCGTCGGCGAACACAACTGGGTCCGCGTCCGGCGCGACGACGACGCCCTGGCCGTCGTGCGCGGCGGCCGCAACGACGTCCTCGTGGACATGGACGGCCGCAACAACAACGACAAGCGCCGGTCCGAGGTCTTCGCGCTCCGGTCCGCGCCTGCGTGGAAATCAAATATTCAACCCGACTTCAATGTGCGCGTAATCGAACGATTTGGACCAGACTCTTTCGCTGTGCTTCGAGAACTTGACGAGAGCAATCGATCCGTCTAAAAATCAGCCGAATCGACTTCGATTTGATTGAGATAGAGAGTTCTGAAGTTTGGTGGGGACCCCCCAAACCAGTGGTTGATTTCCACACAGGTCCGCGCGCGCGCAGGTCCACGTGCAGGAGTACATGGCGCCCCAGACGTCGCTGCTCGTCGACTACCTCTACGCCGACGACGTCGCCGTGCCCCAGTACCACGCGCGCCACTTCGACGAGAAGTTGTTGTACGCGCCGCGCGGCGTCGGCTTCTTCTCGAACTCGCACCGCGGCCTCTACGGCGCCGTCGACGACGAAGCGACGCAGTGCCCGTCGGCGCCGCGCCGGTCCGTCGCCGGCGCGGCGTCGCTGGTCATGGGCGAGGACGAGATGGAGAAACGGCGCCTCCACGGTTTACCGTTGGCCTGCGACCTCGGGCCCTGGTGCGGCGCGGGCTACCGGCCGTTCGTCTACGCGTCGTTCAACAAGTTCGAGAAGCTCTCGCCGGGCGTCGTCGAGGCCTGGGCGACGATCCTCCTCGACGCGCCGGGCAGCGTGCTCTGGCTGCTCGAGTTCCCCAGGAGCGGCGTCGACGGCGCGCGGCGCGCGCTCGAGGGAGCGGCGGACCGCGTGCGTCAGAAACGCGAGGGCTCGAGGGACGCGCCGGCCGGCGCGCTCGACCCGGCGCGCCTCATCTTCGGCGCCTTCGCGCCGACGGACAGAGAGAACCAGGCGCGGCTGCCGCTCATCGACGCCTGCCTGGACACGTGGCCCTACGGCGCGCACACGAGCAGCTTGGACTGCCTCTTCGCGGGCGTCCCCGTGATCACGCGCCGCGACGGCGGACACCTCGCGGGCCGCGTCGCCCTGAGCCACCTCGTCGCGCTGTCCGACCCGCCCTACGAGTACGACGACGGCTCGTCGAACGACGACGACGACGACGCGGGCGGCGGGGACGAGGCGCCGGACGCGGGGGACGGCGCGTCCTACGGCGGCGCGCTCGCGGGCGCCTACGACATCGCGCGCCACCTCGCGGCCGACGGCGTCGACGACTACGTGCGCATCGCCGCGCGCCACGCCAACGACCGGCCCTACCACGACCGCGTGCGCCGCCTCGTCGAGCGGGGCCGCGACCGCAACGGCCTCTTCCGCTCGGACCTCCACGCCGCGGCGCTCCGCGACGCCTTCCGCCTCGCGCACGCGGCGAACGCGTCGACGGCGCCCGCGTTCGCCTACGCGGCGCCCCCGGCGGCGGCCGCGCCGGCGCGGGCGGGCCCGCTCGCGGCGCTCGGCGCCGCGCTCGGCCGCGCGTTCCGGCGGCCCGGCGCCGCGGCGGCGGAGCTCTAAGAACGCGCTAGACGGACGCGCGGCGCTTGCGGTTCGGGGGCCCGAGCGGCCGCGGGCTCGGGTTCGGCGACCCGAAGAGCGCCGGGTACATGGACAGGTCCGACGCGGGCGCCTCCTCGGGCAGGAGCACGTCGTCGTCGAGGGGCCGCGAGTCCGGCGCGTCCGACGGCGGCGAGTTCTTCTGGGACCGCGACAGGAACGACGCGAAGGACGCGCGCGCGCCGAAGTAGGAGCCGCCGTCGCTGTTGAAGCTCTCCGGCGGCGTGCGGTCGAAGAGGCGGTGCAGCGACCCGAGCATGGACAGCTCGCCGCTGTCCAGGGACCGGTGCGAGTCGCTCAGGGGCTCCAGGTCCGGGACCCGCTTCCGCAGCTCCTCGTTCTCCCGGAGCGCGGCCTCGAGCTGGCGCTCGAGCTCCGCGATGCGCCGCCGGAGCGCCACGGGGTCGTCGCCGACGGTCCGCGCCGCGGACACGGGCGTCCGCGGGAGCGTCGCGGGCGTGTCCGCGCCCGCGCCGGCGCCGTCGACGCGCCAGATCTGCACGAGCGACGCGTCCGCGGCCCGGTCCGCCGTGGGCACCTCGCCCACGCCGGACCGCGTCACGAGCGTGTACTGGCGGCCGCGGTAGCCGTGGAGCCGCCCCGCGTCCTCGCCCGTGCGCACGCGCCGCGCCATGGGCCGCGCGGCGACGCCCCGCAGCGCGTCCCCCGGCGCCCACCAGAGCTCGCCGTTCACGGGCGACTGGAACGCGACGGACACGACGGACGCGCCCGCGACGTCGCCGCCGCCGCCGCGGTTGTAGCGGCTCCGCGACGCGACGTAGGCCGCGTGCGCCTCCTCGAAGTTCGCGAAGGGGCTCGCGCTCAGGCGCACGGGCAGGCCGCCGGGCACGGGGCCGGGCCCGGCGAGCGCCGCGAGCAGCGCGAAGATCTCCGCCATGGGCACCTGCGGGGCGGGGCGGCGAGCGCTTCGCGGGCGGCGGCGCGGGGGTTCGCGCGCTTCTCGGGCGGCGGCGCGGGGTTTCGCGCGCTTCGCGGGCGGCGGCGCGGGGTGTCGCGCGCTTCTCGGACGACGCTTCGGGACGCGGCGCCGCGCGACGGCGCCGGCGGCGACGGCGAGCGCCGTCGCCTCGACGGACCGCGGCTCGCCGAGCGTCGCCAGCAGCGACGTGAGGCCCGCCGCCGCGTCGTAGGCGCCGTTGTCGCCGCCGGCCTTGGCGTCGCCGGGCAGCGACCGCGGCGAGCCGGCGCGCGGCGACATTTTTTTGGGCTAGCACGTCGTCATGGTCGACGCATCATTGCACACGGAAAGGGGGCTGCCATCGACTGCCACGAGCAGTGAGCATTCCTGCGCTCCACTGCACAATTCTTGGAAACTAAACTTGGCGTTGGCAATCTAATCTTACAGGTAACTTCACCTTCAACTTGTCGAGGTCTGGTCGAGCGCGCAATGGCTCATCAGTCCGCGGAGATCGCAATGGATCATCAGTCCGCCGAAGCGATCGCAGCGATGCTCGGCATGGACGCGCGCAGCGACATCGTGCAGGAAGCCTGGCGCGCGCAGAAACAACAAGCGCAACAGGCGGCGCAGCGCGAGAAGAAGCGGCGCCGCGTGGAGCGCATGCTCGGCGACCACCTGACCTCGGGCGAGCGAGACCTTGCGCCGGCCTCGCCGGCCCTCGAGCAGAAGCGGCGGCGCTCCTCGACGGACCGCTACGCGCCGCCGTCGACCGGCAAGGCCGCGGAAGCCGCGGCGTCCGACGACGACGACGACGCGGAGGCGGAAGCCGCCGCGAGCGACGACGACGGCGACGACGACGACGCGGAGGAGGATGAGGATGAGGAAGAGGACGAGGACGAGGAGGACGAGGAGGACGAGGACAGCGACGACGACGCGAACGACGCCGCCGAGGAGCCGGACGACGGCGACGCCGCCGACGACCCGGCGCCGGGCCGCGCGTGCGCGCGCTACGCGACGCACGGCCTGCCCGGCGCCGGCTGCGGTGGCGCGCGCTTCCGCCACCCGACGCTCGGCTTCGTGAAGCGCGGCCGCGGCGGGTGCTCGAAAAAGTGCGAGATCGTGCTGGACCGCCTCGCGAACCTCTCCGGCGGCCTCGACCGCGCCTTCGACTTCGGCTACGCCTGGCACCGCCGGCCCGCGGGCGACTACCACTCGAACACGTTCTCGGTCCCCGGCGAGGCGCGGCGGATCAACGCGGGTAGGCTCGTGCGCCACCTCAAGGACCTCGAGGCGCAGCGGCGCGACGAGCTCGGCGTCGACTTCGAGACGTGGATCGCCGCCGGCGGCTACTTCCCGCCCTTCGCGTAAGTTTCGGACCGCGCCGTCCGCCTCCAGCCACGGCGCGAAGGCCGCGGAATGTGGCTCCGTCCGACTCCAGCCACGGCGGCGGCTCTCTACCGCCACGGTCCCTCGAGAGGGTCACCGCCGCCGGGCCCCAGGTCCGGCCTCGGCATGATCGCCCCGCACCCGACGGCAATCGCGCGGCTGCCCCCGCCACGGAAGGCTAGTTGGCACGGGCGGTTACGTCGCCGCCCGCGGCGGCGGTGTGACGTCGCGCCTACACGTCGGAGACGACCTCGGTGTTGAGGCCCTTGACGGAGGTGACCTCGACGTGCTGGACGAGCGTGTAGAGCTTCTCCGACGCCTCCTCGTCCTCGTTGCGCTTTCGCGAGAGGCGCACGCGGACGCGCGTGGGCACGTTGCGGATGCCCTTCGACCACAGGAATTTGTTCAGCTTCGCGTCGACGCGGACGTCGGACGTCTTCATCATGGACTGCGCGAACTTCTTGATCTCGCGGACGGCGCGGGGCGCCTTCTTCTTGAAGGTGATGCCGTGGAGGCGCTTGTGGAGGTTGACGGTGTAGTCGCGCGTGACGAGGTCCGCGGACCGCTGACCTTTCACCATGGTGCCTACGGAACGGGGAACGTCGCGGCGCCGTCTCTCTCGCGGCTGTTTGAAAAAACCTTTCGGTCCCCCCGGGCGTATCGTGCGGCGGCCCGGCTCCGGCGCCGGCGTCGGCGGCCCGGCAGCTCCGGGGCCGCGTCGCCGCGCGGAGGTGGTGTACGACGCGCGGCTTCGCCGAAGCGGCGCCGCGCGCCGTCGCCACGCTCCGCCAGAGGGTCCGCGCCCGCCCCGGCGGCGGCGGCCCCGCAGCTCCGGGGCCGCGTTGCCGCGACGAGATGGTCGAGCAGCACCGCTCGCCAGAAGCGGCGCGCGGCGCCGTCTTCACGAATTCGCCAGCCGCGCCGCCGTCGCCCGCCGTCGTCCCCATCTCTCGTGAGCCACTCAAAAGTCGCGCGTATGGCGCCCCCCTTGTCGCGGACGCTGCTCCATGCCGACTGAGCTTCGCTGATCGCTGCCTCGCTCTCGGCAGTCTGGCCGGGGTACCCTCCGCCGGGGGTTGATTTGAGCGTGAAGTGATTTCATGGCCAAGGACGCCGTCCACGGCGCCTCCCTCGGCGTCTCCGGTCGGCTGTGGCGCGCTCGGGGCCCTACCCGCGCGTCAACAGCACGGTGGACCTGCGCCAGGCCTTCATCGTGCTGACTCTCGTCGCCGACGCGCACCCGGTCTGCTCCAGCGGCGACGACGAAAGGAAGTACTACAAGTTTTAGTGCAGGTAGCTCGCGCCGTTGCAGTCGAGCACGGCGCCGGTGCACCAGGTCGCGCCCGGCGAGGTGAAGAAGGCGACGGCCTCGGCGACCTCGTCGACCGTGGCGACGCGGCCGAAGCCGCTCTGCGCGCGGATGCCGTCGCCGTCCGGGCCGGCGAGCACCGCCGCGGCCATGTCCGTCTCGACGAAGCCCGGCGCGACGACGGCGACGACGATGCCCGCGGGCGCGAGCGCGACGGCGAGGGACTGGCTCAGCGCGTTGAGCGCGGCCTTCGTCGCGCCGTAGGCCGGGCACCGCGGCTCGCCCCGGAGCGCGCCGCGCGAGCCTACGTTGACGATCTTGCCCCGGACGCCGCGCGCGGCCATGGACCGCGCGGCGCAGTAGCAGACGTTCGCGGGACCGTGCAGGTTCACGCGCGCCGTCGCCTCGAAATTCGCGCGCCAGTCGGCGTACGTCGTCTCCAAAATCGGGTGCTCGACGAAGACGCCCGCGTTGTTCACGACGACGTCGAGGCCGCCGAGGTCCGCCTCGACGGCCGCGATCGTGGCCGCGACGGCGTCGCCGTCGCCGACGTCGCAGCGGTAGGTCGCGTGGCCCGCGCCGGGCAGCGCCGCCGCCGTCGCCGCCGCCGCGGCCTCGTCGTCGCGGTAGACGATCGCGACGGCCGCGCCGCGCGTCGCGAGCGCGCGCGCGATGGCCGCGCCGATGCCGCGGCCGCCGCCGGTGACGAGCGCGACCTGGCCGGCCAGCGGCAGCGGCTCGATCGTGATGATGTCATCGAGTTTGTCGCCGCCGCGGGGCACGCGCCGCAGCGGCCGCGGCAGCGATCGCGCCGTCGGTCGCAGCGCGCTGCGCGGCTGCCGCGCCGTCGCGGCGACGGCCAGCGACGCGAGCGCGAGCCAGGCCATGCGCGAATGCGTGCTGTGAGTCGCACGGCTGAAGGCTGTGTGCAGTTCATCGAAACGGGTTGAAGAGGGCAGCCTAAACGATGTGATGCTCGCATTCCTCTTCATATCCCTCATCGCACCGACCACCTGCTCCGCGACGCTCGCCCGGGCGACCTGCGTGCGCGACGAGGCGTCGCTGCCCGGCCGCGGCGACGTCGCGGCGCGCTGCGCCGCGGCGAACGTCATCGCCGAGGCCGAGGAGTACTCGACCTTTTGCGACGACGCCGCCGGCGCGCCCTGCCGCTGCTGCCGGCGGCTGCGGCGCGACGCCGAGGCGGACCGCGCCGACGCGCGCGCGCGCGACCGCTGCCGCGGCGCCCGCGCGGCGCCGACGAGGGGCCTCGCGGTCTACACCGTGAGCACGGGTCCCGCCGCCCGGCGTCCGCCGCGCCGCGCCGCGCGGCGCACGCGGAGCCACCCTAGGCGGCTACGACCTCGACCCCGCGCTGCTCAACGCGACGGCGCCCGAGGCCGGCGTCGACTTCCTCTTCTTCTGCGACGCCGCGAGCTGCCCGGCCGTCGAGCGCCTCGGCGAGGCGACGCCGTGGACGGCCGCGCCGCTGCCGCCGGTCTGGCGCAACGCGTCCGCGGCGCGGCGCCGCCGGCGGCCGGGCGCGCCCCTCGACGACTGCGTCGGCCGGTCCTTCGGCGGCTTCGCGTCCGGCGCGCAGTGCCTCTCGCGCGACGTCAAGCTCCGGCCGCACCGCTACCTGCCGGGCTACGCGGCGTCGCTCTACGTCGACGCGAACGTCCGCGTCGAGCGCCGCGCGGGAAACGGCCGCCGCTTCGGGACGTCCCGACCGCACGTTTGAAATGCTCTCGCTCGGTCGAACCGACGTCGATTCGGCCGATTCTTGGACGGATCGATGGCTCTCGTCGAAGCACGGCCGAAGAGCTCGCGTCGAAACGGTCGGGTCGGAGCGTCGATCGCGCAGGTCGAGCGGCCCGTGTCGCCGCTCTTCGCCGCGTTCCGGGCCGCGGACCTCGCGACGTTCGTGTTCCCGCGGTCGCTCGCCGGCGAGGCCGACTACGTGTTCCGCTACCTGCGGCGGCGGCTCGGGCTCCGCGACGAGGCCCACGCGGCCGCGCTCCGGCGCCGCGTCGACGCGCAGGCGCGGTCCTACGGCGCGCGGCCCGAGACGGCCTACGGCAAGGTCGTCCTCCGGCGCCACGGCTTCGCCGCGTGCTACTTCAACGAGCGCTGGTGGCGCGAGCTCTACGCCGGCGTCCCCCGGGACCAGCTCAGCCTCCTCTTCGCCGCCGGCGCCGCCGAGGCGCGCGCGGGCCTCGCGCGCGCGGCGCTCAACGGCGGGCCCGGCGAGGCCCGGTGCCGCTGCGCCGCGGACGACGCGACCTTCCAGCGCTACTTCGGCCACGCCGGCCCGACGAGCCACCTCGGCGCCAACTGGAAGGGCCGCGGCGGCCCGGGGCGACGCGCGCGCTAGATCGAGTCTTCCAGACGAAAGAAGTACTCGGGATGGCCCCTCGTCGACGGGGTCACGCGCCTGCAGTACATTTTTTCCGAAAACTGATTTCACATAGCAAATAAGTGAAGATACTAGTACGCGTTCCTTTCGCACCTCCGGACCGCGGCCTCGACGATGTACTTCGCATCGAAATCGGCGTCGATGGGGCCGCAAGACGGAGGGTGGCAGGTTGCGTTTGCTGGGCCTAATGGTTTTGGTTTTTTGTGCTGTGGGGAGTCACCGACGACGCGCACGCGCGGCCCAGTTGCCGGCCCCACGATCGCGATCGAAGAGGCGGTTCAATTCGCGATGGTGCCGTCGGTATCAATGGGCGTTTCAGGCTTCACACGGCGCTGGCTCTCTGCGCGGCGGTCGTCCCGGGCGCGCGGGGAGGGGCGGACGCCGTCGCAGCGCCGCCCGCGCATGCGGTGACGCGGGCGCCCCGGAGCCGTCGGTCGCCGACTTCCGAGCCCTTTCGTCGCGCGCGCCCCCGGCCGCCTCCGTGAACGCGCGGCGGCCATGTCCGTCACGTGGGAGCACAGCGAGGACATCGTGCTGCAGACGTCGTGGGCCATCTGCCTCACGGTCATGCCCAACGAGGACGAGGGCGAGCACGACAAGAAGTTCGTCTGGGGCGGCCTCAACAACACGGTGTCGGTAGTGGGAACGGGAGCGACGGAGTCGGTCAAGTACCACGGCCACGGCGCCTTCGTCGCGGCCGTGAGCGTCGCCCCGGACAAGAAGACCATCGCCTCCGGCGGCGGCGACGGCCTCGTCAAGATCTGGCGCGACGGCGAGTGCGTGCAGACCCTGAACAAGCACGGCGGCTCCGCCGTCGCGGCCCGGCGCGGGACGCGCGCGGCGCGACTTCACAAACGGCGCCGGCGCGCGCGCGCGCCGCCGTCGCCGCGGCACCGCGTCGCGCGCGCCTCGCGGAAACAACGACGACGTTAAATGCGTCGCGCCGCCGCAGGTCACGGCCGTCGCGTGGCACCCGTCTTCGGGCAAGCTCGCGTCCGGCGGCTGCGACCGGAGCGTCATCGTCTGGTCCGGCGGCGGCGAGCTGGCCGTGGAGAAGAAGCACAGCGAGCACGACGACGACTGCAACTGCGTCGCGTGGAGCCCCTGCGGCGAGCAGCTCGCGTCGGGCGGCGACGACGGCGTCGTCCACGTCTACAGCCAGGGGTCCGCGCTCAAGGGCAAGGGCAAGAAGCACGCCGTCAACGACTGCCGCTTCTCCCCCGACTCGAAGCGCATCGCGTGCGCCTACGCGGACGGCGTCGTCCGCGTCTTCCGCGTCGGCGGCGGGTCCGCGCAGGTCACGCTCAAGCACGGCGACGGCCCCTGCTCCTGCCTCTGCTGGAACTCGCACGGCCTCTGGAGCGGCGGCTGGAACAAGCGCCTCACGCTCTGGAACCCGGGCAAGGGCGTGCAGGTCCAGTCCATCCGCGCGGGCTCCAAGGTGTTCTCCGTCGCGTCGACGGCGGGCGACGCGGAGATCTGCGCCACGGTCAAGGCGGGCAAGCTCATGATCTGGAAGCCCAAGAAGGCCGAGGCCACGTCCTACGTCAAGAAGCTCATGTCGCTCCTCACGGTCGACGTCTCCCAGTTCCAGTAGGCGCGCTAGACGGACCGCGCCGCGGCCGCGGCCGCGCGCGCCCCTCCCCCCGTTACACCGCGGCGCGGCGCGCTCCGTTCTCGCGGGGCTCGGTCGTGGGTCCGTCTCGCGGGGCTCAGTCGTGGGCGACGCGGTTGAAGACGGACCGCACCTTGATCTCGCGGTCGCCGACGGTGAGCTTGTTGACGACGACGTAGCGCGCGCCGCCGCCCTCGAGCGTCCGGGCGACGTGCTGGGCCTTGCCGCTGCCCGGGGGGTACGCGCTCGTCGTGACGACGGCGTCGCCCTGGACGGACGACGTCATCGTCACCGCGCTCTTGTCCACGGGCGAGATCACGACGGTCGGCGCGCCCGAGAGGTCGAGGTGAGTGATCCGCGTGACTCCGGGCGCGACGGTCGTCTCCGTCCAGGCGTCGTGGTCGTGCTCGATGTGGACCGCGCGCGACGCCATCGAGATGGCCTTGCGCTTGGGCCAGGACACGCCGAGGGCCGCGAGCATCTCCATCGGGTTGTCCGACGCGGCGAGGTCGAGCCTGTAGCTCCCGGAGAAGTCGACGCCGGCCTCCTCGGCGACGGCCGGGAGGCCGCCGCCGACGGCCGTGGGCAGGAGCGACGGCTCGATGGCCGCGTGGCTGCTGCAGCGGCGCTTCTTCGCGACCTTCTCGGGGGACAGGGACTTGAGCACGAGCGCGTAGGTCGCCGACGGCGCCGTCGCGGCGAGCGCGCCGTAGCCGCCCGGCGGCGGCGCGGCCGCGCGGCGCGCCGCCGCCGCGCGCGCGAGCGCCGCGACGGCCGCGTAGGCGAGGAGCGCGACCGCCAAGGCGTCGGCGCGGGCGGCGACGGCGGGCACGCGCGCGCAGAGGAGCACGCAGGCCCCGGCGAAGGCCGCGGCCGCCGCGGACGCGTCGCGCGGCGACGGCGCCGCGGCCGCCGCGGGCGCCGACGCGAGCGGCAGCGTGGGCCCCTCGGCGATGGACGCGAGGAGCTTGTGCTCGCCCGCGGCGGCGACCTCCTTGCCCGCGCCGCCGACCGTGAGGCCGTCGACGGAGAACGTGGACCCGTCCGCGAGGCGCACGTGCGCGCAGTGCTGGCCGTTGCGCATGCCCTCGAGGTGCCCCAAGTCCGCGACCATGCGGATGGGCGCGGGCGCGTTGCCGTCGAGCCAGACGCCGTCGACGAGCCAGGGGCTGCCCGTGACCTCGCGGTCGTCGTCCACGGGGCTCGCGGCGGGCACGCCCTGCGACTTGGCCCGGAGGTACGTCGCCCACCGCTTCGCGTCTTCTACTGTCTCCGCGCGGAGGTGGAAGACGCGGTTCTTGCAGGCGACGTCGAAGGTCGCGTCGCCGTGCTCCTCGACGTCCGTCATCTCCGCGAGCTTGATGGACCCCTTGAGGGACTTGAGGTCCGGCTTCCCGTAGTACCGGAGCACGCCCTGGGAGCCCTTCTCCTCGAGGACGCACCACCGCTTCTTCTCGCCGCCGAAGCCGACGGCGCCCTTCTTGTAGAGCCAGCCCTCCATGCTGGGCGCTCGGGGCTGCGCAGGTCAAGAGGCGGCGCGCGTGCGCGGGAACAGGCGAGAAGCACCTCGCGCGAGTGGACACAAGCTCGAATGGGCTGCAACTCACATTCTTGACGGCGGCACTGGCGCACGGGTGATGGTAATGACATTGGAAACGCGCCGGCCCCAAGGTGCGAGCGTCGTCAGCCTTTCCGTATAATCGACGCGTCTCGCCTTGTCCACTAGCGCGTCCGCGGCCGGCGTCCGTGCCATCGCGCACGTCCGCGCGCGTCCGCGCGCGCGCGCGCCACGCGCGCGGCTCCGGGGGCGTTTTCGCGCGCGCCGCGACCGCCTTTACCCGCGCCCAGGCCATGTCGATGCGCAAGCCCATCGCGCCCCACGAGCGGGCCCAGGTGAACGTCCTGGGCGTCGCCGCGTCGGGCGCGCTGGGTGCGCCGCTGGTCATCCCCGCGGGCAAGGAGGGCCCGGACCTCGGCAAGGTCCTGTCCAAGGCCGCGAGCCGCGCGCTGCCGTCCGGCGCGGCCGGCGGCGTCGCCATGGGCCTCAACATCCTCTGCCTCATGTGGATGCGCACGACGGTCAACTACCAGTACCGCTACGGCAGCGGCACGATCACGGCGATCAAGGCGCTCTACAAGGAGAGCGGGAGCACGCCCGCGGGCATCACGCGGTTCTACCGGGGTTTGGTGCCCGCGCTCTTCCAGGGCCCGCTGAGCCGCTTCGGCGACACGGCCGCGAACACGGGCACGCTCGTCATCCTCAACGAGTACGACTCGACGAAGGATTTACCGGCCTACGCGAAGACGGCCTTCTGCTCCGTCTCCGCCGCGAGCTGGCGCCTCTTCCTCATGCCCATCGACACGCTCAAGACGACGCTCCAGACCGACGGCGCCAAGGGCATGGCGCTCCTCCGCACGAAGATGGCCTCCGGCGGGCCCCTCGTGCTCTACAACGGCGGCGCGGGCGCCGTCATGGCCAACATCGTCGGCTACTACCCCTGGTTCGCGACGTACAACCAGATGGAGGACATGCTGCCCACCACGGACTCCGAGGGCAAGCCCCTCGGCGGCGTCGCCAAGCTCGGCCGCCGGGCCGTGCAGGGCTTCGCGGCCTCCGCCGTCTCCGACTGCTCGTCCAACTCCATCCGCGTCCTCAAGGTCTACAAGCAGACGAACGCCGACACGACGATGACGTACACCAAGGCCATCAAGGAGATCGTCGCCAAGGACGGCGTCTGGGGCCTCTTCGGCCGCGGCCTCGGCACGAAGCTCATCTCCAACGGCATCCAGGGCGCCATGTTCTCCGTGCTCTGGAAGACCATCGAGCCCATGCTCTTCCCCAAGTAGAGCCCCCAAACGCGGCCGCGGCCGCGGACCCGCGGCCGCCGGACCGCCGGGGCCGCGGAGCCCCGCCCGCGGCCCCCGAAGCAGACCACTGGAAATAGTTTAACACTCGCGACACGGTCGAGCGACGCGGCGGCGGAGGACGTGGCCGAGGACGTGGCGGGGGAGGCCTCGGGGGCGACGGCGGAGGCGCGCTGGGCGCCCACGCCGACGGCTGTGGCGACTGGCAGCCGTGTGGAGGTGGCCGCCGCCAGCGTCGGGACCGAAACATGCTGCGACGGCTCTGCGCGCGGCCCTTGGCGCGCGCGCTCCACGCGACGCCGGCGCGGCGAATCGAGCTCCCGAAGCTCGAGTCCATCTCCATGAGGGAGTATCGCATCGCCGCGAAGATGAAGCAGCGCTTCCAGCCGCCGGCGCACCGCGAGTTCATGGACCTCATGGCCGCGCTCTCCTGCGCGCCCGCCGCGCCCGGTTCCGCCTTCGACGCGCGCGCCGCGCGCGCCGGCCGCGCGGCCCGCCCACGCGCGCCGCCCCTCCGCAGACCACGACTTCGACGTCGACCACCCGGAGGTCGTGCGCGCGCGCGAGGCCTGCGAGGCCGCGGGCGAGGAGGCCGAGAGCAAGCGCAAGGGGCAGAAGGCGTCGACGAACTACCACCTGAGCCGCCACCTGCGACGGTAGGCGCGCGGGCTCGCGTCCGACGGGTCCACAGACATATGTTTATTAACTAAAATACTGGCGGATGACGGCGTCGATGGGCAGCCGGCACATGGGGCAGGGGTCGCCGCGCCACTTGAGGTCGAGCGCGCAGTCGTAGCAGCAGCACATGTGGCCCGTGTCCCCGTGGATGATCGTCGCGTCGCGGGCGGCGTCGAGGCAGACGACGCACTCGTTCCGGCGCAGCTCCATCTCCTCCGCGAGCTCGACGGCCGCGGACTTGGCGGCGGGGGCGGCGTCGGCCGCCGGGGCCGCGGCGTCGGCCGCGGGCGCCGCCGCGGCGGCCGCGCCGTCGCCGAGCGCGCCCCGGAGGCTCGCGCGCAGCGACGACATGAGCGTGCGCCGCGGCGTGATATCGCGCTTCGGGGCGACGGGCGTGACGTCCTCGACGTGCTCGTGCTCCTCGAGCGTGACGGTCATGGACAGGCGGTGGCCCGGCGTCGACGGCTCGGCCTCGGCCTCGCGCCGCCCCGCGGGCTCCGGCGCGGCCTCTCGTTCCTCCTCGGCGTGCTTCGCTTCCGCGACGCCGGGCTCCTCGGGCACCGAGTCCGCGACCCCGGGCGCCTCGGGCGCCGCCGCGGGCTTCCTTCTTGGCCCGCTTGCGGCCCGCGACTATCGCCGCGCGGATCTGCGCGCGCGTGCTGCCGTGGGACCGCGCGGGCGCCGGCGCCTGGCGCTTGGGCCGCGGCGCCGCCCGGCGCTGGACGCGCTCCTCGAGGGCCGGCGCGTGCGCGCCGCGCGCCTGGTGCAGCGCGCCCGCGTAGCGGGGCGCCGCGCCGCGCGCCGCGCGCGCCTCCGCGGCCTCGGCGGCGCGCGCCTCGACGGTGGCCGCCTCGTGCGCGACGCCCGCGCGGGCCTCCGCGTCCCGCGCGTCGAGGGCCTCCCGCGCGGCGAGCGCGGCGGCCGCGGCCGCGCGGCGGTCGACGCTTTGCTCCGTCTCCTCGCCCCGGTCCCCGTGGAACCCGCGCGGCCGGAAGATGGAGCGCATGAAGCGCTGGCGCGACGGCGGCGGACTGCCCGCCGCCGCGGCCTCGGCGGCCCGGGCCGCGTCCGCGTCGGCCGCGCGCGCCGCGACGGTCGCCGCCTCCGCGTGGACGTGGGCCGGCCGGTCCTCGGCGACGGCCGGGGCCTCGTAGTGGTACATGGCCTCGTCCTCGGCGCGGTGGAAGCCGCGCGGGCGCTCCGTCGTCGTCATGAACCGCGGCCGCCGCGGCTCCGCGGCGCGCGCCTCCGCGAGCGCGCCGCGCTCCGCGAGCGACGGCTCGGCGTCGCCCTTGGACTCCTCGACGCCGTGGTACTGGTAGAGCGCCTCGTCGCCGCTCCGGTGGTAGCCCTTGGGGCGCTGGAGGGCGACCGTCATGAAGCGCGGGTGCGACGGCGGCGACGCCGCGCGCGCCTCCGCGGCGCGCGCGGCGCGCTCGTCGACGGACGGCTCCCGCGGCGGTGCCTCGGCGGCGGGGCGGCGCTGGGAGCTCGGCGGCGCGCGGGGCGTTCCGCGCTCCGGCGTCCGCGGTTTTGGGGGCTCCCGCGCGGGCGCGGGCGCCGCCGGCTTCGGCGCGGCGGGCTCCGGCGCCGGCTTCACGGCGGGCTCCGGTGCCGGCATCACGGCGGGCTCCGGCGCCGGCTTCACGGCGGGCTCCGGCGCCGGCTTCACGGCGGGCTCCGGCGAGGACGAGGCGGCGGGCTCCGGCGAGGACGAGGCGGCGGGCTCCGGCGAGGACGAGGCGGCGGGCTCCGGCTCGTCGTCGCGGCGCCAGACGTCGGGCTCGATCTCCTGCTTCCGCGCGAGGACCGCGAGCATCATGGGCCAGACCTGGTCCCGCGCCTTCGCGCGGAGGAGCGGGTCCATGGACAGCACGGCCCTGGCCTCCTCGATGGCCGGCAGCTTCAGGAAGCACCACTCCGCCGCGTCGTGCCAGAAGAGGAACTGGCGGTCCACGCGCGCGAGGTGCCGGTCTAGATTGCTCCTCAGCTTCTCCAGCAGCTCGGACCGGAACTCGTGGGGCCGCGCGGCACCCTCGAGGGACGTCACGGCCTTCTGGCTCGGCTTGATCTTCATCTCGTTGATGCGCCGCACCTGGCTCTCGAGCCGCGCGGCCACGAGCGGCGACCGGCCCACGGTCACGGACGCGACGGCCGTGTTGTTCAGGCCGCCGCTGTCGACGACGGTGCACCGGAGCTCGTAGGTCGCCCCGGTGAACGAGACGCCCGAGCAGTGGACCGTCGGCTGGGGCGTCGGCAGGGGCGTCGGCTGGGGCGTGGGCTGGGGCGTCGGCTGGGGCGTCGGCTGGGGCGTCGGCAGGAGCATCTGGTAGCTCGCGTAGTCGTGCGTCGTGCGCGTCGCGCACGTTTTGCTGGCGAAGCACGCGTAGCAGGACAACGTCGCCGACACGGCGAAGTAGGCGCAGTCCGGGATGGCGGCGCAGACGGCGTAGCAATTGGCCACGGACGCGCAGTTGCAGAAGCCGCTCGGCATCGTCGCGCCGGAGTTGTACCAGGTCGCGCTGCCCGTCGTCGAGTACGTCTGGGGCAGCGACCCGTGGTTCGCGTTCAGGTACGTCGTCGACCAGGACTCGCTGTCGTCGGCGTTCTGGCAGATGCCCTGCGGTCGGCGCGCGCGCGTGCGCGCGGGCGCGCGCGCGGGGGGCGGCGGCGGGCGGCGGGCGACGCACCGTGCCGACGGTCGCGTACTGGCCCGCGGCACCGGCGACGGCCCAGGCCGCGACCACGACGATGCGCAGCATGGTGCGCTCACGTATCTCGGAGCGAGGGGCGGGGCGGGCCGCCCGCGCGGGGCAGCATTATGGCACTGCCCGAGGTCGTGTCCAAAGCAGTTTTAGCCCGTGTTGCCTGCGAATCATGGCGATGAATGCACCACCGACTTCAGCACCGGCATTGCAGTCATTGCGCGCCGCCAGCTCTTCCTCCGCTTCGAGGTCTTCCTCGCCGCGCGCCCGAACAGGTTACCGCGCGGCCACCCCGCCCCGGCGGTCGTCGTCGTCCGTGTCCGTCTCGAGGGACGCGCGGAGGTCGCCGAGGCCGAGGCGCGCGAGGATGTCGTCGTCCGCGAGCGACGACCGCGCGCTCGGCGGCCCGTCGTCGGGCGGCGGCGGCGGCGCGCGCCGCGGGAGGCCCGCGGCCGGGTGGGCCCCGCCCCGCGCGCCGAGCGCGACGCCGAGCGTCCGCTCGTGGTCGAGGCGCTCCTCGACGACGGCCTCGATCGCGCGGCGGAGCGCGCGCTCGTCGAGCGGGTCGAGCGCGTCGTCGACGGCCGCGGCGAGCGCGGCCGCGGCCTCGCTCGCCGCCGGCGGCGCCCCGCCGCCGACGTCGCCGCGGAGGCTCCCGAGCAGGTCGTCGACCTCGGGCGGCGACAGGTCGAGGAGCGACGCCGCGACCTGGGCAGGAAAAGAGAGATTCAACGTCGCTTCAACGTGAGTGCTCCGCGCGCGCGCGTTCCGGAAAAAAGCATCCACGCTTCGAGACCGTTCCAAGAGATGATCGCTCGTCCAAAATCCAGCCGAAACGAGTGGAAAACGGCCGAGATAGGAGCCCTTGAAGTTGGGAATTTCGCTCTCTTTTCCTGCCCTGGCCGCGACGAGCCCCGCGCCGCCGCCGCCGGCCTCGAGGTCGCGCGCGCGCGCGGCCGCGCGGTCCAGGCCCCGGGCGAGGTCCAGGCCGACGGCCCGCAGCACGTCCTTGATCGCGCGGCACTGGCCGAGCGCGTCGACGGCGCGCTCGCGGTCGAGCGCCGCCGCGTCGTCGTCCTTCGCCGCGCGCGCCTTGAGCGCGTCGAGCCGCCGCGACGCCTCGCGGCGCCAGGCGCCCGCGGCGTCCCGGAAGGCCGCGAACTCCTCGGACGTCGCCGCGAGCTTCGCGCGCGCGAGGCGCAGCGACACCTCCTTGCGCGCCGCGGCCGCGCGCGCGTCCTTGGCGCGCCGCTCCGCGAGCTCCCGCGCGGCCTCCCGCTCCTCCGCCCGGGCCTCGACCGCCGCGGCCTGCTTCTTGAGGGCCGCGAAGCGCTCGCGCGACGCCCGGTCCGCCGCGGGGCTCCGCTTCGCGGGCTCCGGCGGCGTCTCCGCGGCGCGCGCGTTCTCGTCCGGCGGCGCCTTGAGCGGCGTCCGCAGCGCGGACCTGAGCGCGACCTGGCGGCTCGTGAGCCGCTTCGCGGACCGCTCCGCCGACTCGAGCTTACGGCTGCAGGCCTCGAAGTTCCTCAGGAGCTCGTCCTTCTCGGCCTTGGTCTGCTCGAGCGACGCCTTCCGCCGCTTCGCGTCGGGGCGTCCGCGCGCCGCGAAGCGTCGTCGGCGGCGCGCCGCGCGTCGCCGAGGAGCCGGCCCTCGCCGCGGCCCGCCGCGGCCCGGAGCGCGCCGAGCTCGCGGTCCGCCTCGAGCCGCGCGGCGCGCTCGCGGTCCGCGCGCGCCTCCGCGTCGGCGACCGCCGCGGCCTCCGGCGCGCGCGGCGGCGCCGGCGCGAGGCGCGCGCGCTCGAGCTCGAGCTCGAGGTCCGCGCGCGCCTCCTCGGCCGCGCGCGCGGCCTTTTCCGCGGCGCGGCGCGCGTCCGACTCGAGCTTCCGTCGTTCGTCGGCCGCCGCCGCGTCCGCCTCCGCGTCCGCGACGCGCGCGCGCAGCGCGTCGCCGTCGGCGGACGGCGCGTCCGCGCGCGCGAGCTCGCCGGCGACCGCGCGGAGCCGCTCGAGCACCGACGCGGCCTGGTCGGCCGCGCCGGCGTCGTCGGCCGGGGCGCACTGCGTCGCCGAGTCGCGGCGCGCGGCGGCCGCGGACGCGCGCGCGGCCGCGGCCTCGCTCGCCGCCGTCGCCGCCCGCTCGAGCTCGCCGACGCGCGCGCGGAGCGCCGCGGCGTCGCGCGCGGACGCGTCCGCGGCGGAGGTCCGCGCCGACGCCGTCGCCCGCGCGCGCGCGGCGCTCGCCGCGGTCGCGCGCGGCGACGTCGGCGGCGTGGTCGCAGACCTCGAGGCGCGCCTCGAGGCGCGCCTGGGCGGCCTTGGACTCGTATAGGGCCGCGTTGACGTCGTCGCCGCCGCCGAGGGGCCGGAGCACGTCGTCGACCCAGGACCGCCAGCGCTCGCACTTGCCCGCGGCCGCGCCCGCGCGCGCGTCCGCGGCGACGGCGAAGGACGCGAGCTCCGCGGCGCTCGCGCGGTCCGCGGCGGCGTCGGCGTGGGCCCGCTCGTCGGCGAGCGCCGCGCCGAGCGCCGCGACCCGGGCCTCGAGCGCGACGGCCTCCGTCTCCAGCCGCCGCACGTCCGCGGTCCTCGCGTCCAACAGCCGCCGCGCGTCCCGCGGCTCCGCGGGCGCCGCGGGCGCGGGCCGCAGGGCGCGGAAGGCGTCGGCGGCGCCCGGCGCGTCCGCGCTGGCCGCGACGGCCGCGTCGAGCGCGTCGCGACAATCCGCGGCGCGCGCGTCCGCGGCCTGCGCCGCGCGCTCGGCGACGCGGCACCGCGCGAGGAGCGCCGCCGCGCCGTCGTCGCGCGCCGCCAGCGCCCGCGCGGCGCGCGCCTCGACGGCGCCGCTCGCCGCGAGCGCCGCGTCGAGGGCCAGGCGCAGGTTCCGCCGCGACCGCTCGTCCGCGCCCTCGCGCTCAAAGGACCGGCACCGCGCGCTCCGCCGGTCGCCGCGGCCCCGGTGGCCGATCTCCTCGTGGAGCCGCGCCGTCAGCGCCGCGCAGCGCGCGCCGAGCGCGCGCGCGACGGAGTCGTCGCCGTCGCCCTTGGCGACGAACTCGCGGAGCACGTCGAGCGACGCGCGGCAGCTCTCCAGCTGGTCGTCCTTCTCGCGGAGCTGCGCGGCGAAGTCGCCCGACAGGGCCGCGAGGGGCCCCCGCTCCGGCGCCGGCGCCGGCGCCTCGCGCAGCACGTCCGCGACCGCGCGCGCGGCCGCGGACTCGTCGGGCGCGGCCGCGGGCGCCGCCTCCCGCAGATCCGCGACGTCGCGGTCGCGCGCGGCCAGGTCCGAAACGGCCGCCGCGAGCGCGCGCCGCAGCTCGCGCACCTCGAGCTCGCGCCGCAGTTCGCGCGCGCCGTCGCGCTCCGCGCGTTTTTCCACGGCGGCGACGCGCGCGGCCTCGGCCGCGAGCGCCTCGTCCGCGGCCGCGGCGCGCGCCTCGGCCGCGGCCGCGGCGGCCTCGCGCGTCTCGACGGCCGCGCCCCGCCGCGCGAGGGCGGCCTCGCGCGTCGCGACGTCCGCCCGTTGCGCGTCGAGCTCGTCGACGAGCTCGACGGCGAGCTCCGCGGCCTTCTCGCGCCGCGCGAGGTCGAGCGCGTTGGCCGCGTCGTCGAGTTGGGCCTCGACGGCCGCCGCCGCCCGCGCCGCCGCGTCGCGCTCGCGGGCCGCGTCGGCGCGCGCGTCGTCGGCCTCGCGCCGCGCCGCGGCCAGGGCCTTGCCGAGCGCCTCGGCTTCGCGCGCCGCGGCGTCGGCCCGGTCGTCGGCGCCGGCGCGCGCGGCGGCGACCGCGGCGCGCGCGGCCCGGTCGCGGTCCGCGGCGCTCGCGCGCAGCGCGTCAAAGGCCGCGGCGCCCGCGGCCACCGCCGCGAGGCCGGAGGCCACGCTCTCGCGCAGGGCCTTGACGTTCGCGCGCGCGGCGACGAGCTGCGCCTTGTCCGCGGCGGCGGCGGCCCGGAGCCCGCGCGCCGCGGACTCGTCCGGCGGCGACACCGCGGGCGTCGGGGGGGGCGTCTCCCGCGGCGGGCGCGACGCCGGCGTCTCCCGCGGCGGGCGCGACGCCGGCGTCTCCCGCGGCGGCGCCGGCGGCGTCTCGCGCGCCGTCGACGACGACGAAGCCGGCGTCTCCCGCGCCGCCGACGAGAGCGCGGGCGTCCCTCGCGCCGCCGAGGAGAGCGCGGGCGTCTCTCGCGCCGCCGAGGAGAGCGCCGGCGTCCCTCGCGCCGCCGAGGAGAGCGCCGGCGTCCCTCGCGCCGCCGAGGAGAGCGCCGGCGTCCCGCGCGCCGCCGACGACAAGGCCGGCGTCTCCCGCGCCGCCGAGGAGAGCGCCGGCGTCTCGGAGCCGTCGCCGGGTCGCCGCTCGGACCGGCGGCGCCGCGCGGCGGCGACGGCCGCGGGCAGCTCCGGCGCCGCGGCGGGCCGCGACGAGGGCTCCGCCGCCGCCGGCGGCGGCGACAGCGGCGAGCCCACGGACTCGGGCAGCGAGGGCAGCGGCTCCGCGGCTCGCCACGACGCCTCGCTCGACGGCCGCGAGTCGTCGCGCGGCGTCCGCAGGAGCTCGTCGAGCCGCTCCTGCTGGGCGGCGACCGTGCGCCGCAGCCAGTCGATCTCGCCGCGCGCGTCGCGCTCCGCGCCCGCGATGAGCCGCGCGTCGCGCTCCGCCGACAGCGCCTCGTCGCGGAGCGACTCGGCGACGCGCCGCGCGGCGAGCGCGGGCTCGCCGAGGTCGCCGCGCGCGGGCGTCGGCGGCGGCGACTTGAGCGCCTCGATCTCCAGGTCCTTCTCGCGCAGCAGGGCCAGCGCGCGCGCGCTCTGCTGCTCGTGGCGCGCGCGCGCCTCCACGAGCGCCTTGCGCAGGCTGTCCACGGAGTCGCTCATGGGCGCGCGCGCTCGCAGGCGTGTGCGCGCGTGCTTCGAGGTGGGTTTTGGCGGCGGTTCAGTGGTCGAGGAGCACCGCAACGCGCCGTTCGGGGGGCCTCAACTGTCAGCCATCATCTCGAATGCCAATTCACTTTTGGGCAAATCAGCCAAAATTGAAGCAATTCATGCGCAGCCCTCACGCGCCGCCCTGGCCAGCCATCGACGAGCGCAAAAGTCGTCTTCTCTCCGCCGCCGCGCCGCCGCCCGCACGATGGCGACCTTCGAGGGCCGGCCCCTCTTCGACCCGCACAAGCGGCTCGCGCCCAAGCTCTCCGACAAGGAGCTCGACAAGTGCGCACCCTCCCCCGGGAAAAAACACACGAACACCTACCCCCGCGCCGCAGGTACATGGAGGAGAACGGCTACGACAGCAAGAGCGAGGCCGAGGAGGAGAAGCCCAAACCAAAAAACGGCGCCTTCAAGCGCTTCCAGATGAGCGACCGGGAGCTCGACGACTACGTCGAGGCGGACTCGCGCATGGACGCGATGGCCGAGCGCATGAACGCGGAGCGGCCCGGCTACATGGACGAGTACGAGCGCAACCCCGAGGAGCGCGAGCGCGTGCGCGAGTCGGCGCTCATGCACATCCAGCAGGAGCGCTCCGAGCTCGACAAGTACGTCAACCACCAGCCGTACCAAGGCACGATCAAAGACGAGAGCAAGGAGGGCAAGGCCATCAAGCGCCGCTTCCGCAAGGCGGGCTTCAAGAAGCTCATGCGGCGCTACACGGGCGACGACCCCAAGCTCTACTACCGCGCGCCGCCGGAGAAGATCGACGTCTGGCCGCCCGTCGACGCGAAGCCCTGGGGCCACCTGCCGTGGCGCGACCCCATCGAGAGTAGCCCCGAGGACCCCTACACGCAGGACGATTTGGACTCGGAGCTGCCCATGCGCCAGCCCGTGCTACCCGACCTCTACCACGACAAGCTCGTGCCGCCGCAGGAGGTCGACATGATCGCGCGCGCGCTCGAGCTCCGCGAACGCGGCAACGAGGCCTACAAGAACGACGACCTCAACGACGCCGTGGACCAGTACACCTACGCCGCGGAGTCCCTCGAGGCCGAGGCGGGCGTCGACGGGGGCGGCAAGCCCCGCGCGGAGTCCGTGCTCGGCATCGTGTTGAGCAACCGCGCGCTCTGCCTCCTCAAGCTCGGCCGCTTCGCCGAGGCCGTGGCGCCGGCGGCGCGCGCGCTGAGCCTCAGCTCCGTCGCCGCCCAGCCGGCGCTCGCGGGCAAGACCTACAGCCGCCTGGCGCTCGCGCAGCTCGAGTCCGGCGACATCGCGGGGTCCATCGGCACGGCGTACCACGCGGCGAAGCTCGGCCACCTCAAGTACCTCCACCGGGACCTGCGGGACTACGACGAGGTGAAGAAGGCCGCGGAGAAGCCCCGCGTGTCCCTCGTGTCCGCGGTGAACCAGCCCGACCACGCGGCCGACGAGGGCGAGGACGGCTTCCAGCGCATCAAGCTCCTCTTCGAGCGCGAGGCGTTGCCCCACCCGGACGCGCGCGAGCCCAAGAGCGGCAAGTCCATCATGAGCGAGGCCGTCGAGGCCATGGGCCACAGCCGCGCGCAGCTCGGCGGCAAGGAGCGCGAGGGCTCGGAGCAGCACAAGAGAGCGAACTTCCCAACTTCAAAGGCTCCGATCTCGGCCATTTTCCACTCGTTTCGGCTGATTTTTGGACGAGCGATCATCTCTCGGCACGGTCTCGACGCGTGGATGTGTTTTCCGTAACGCGCGCGCGCGGAACACTCACGTTGACGCGACGTTGAATCACTCTTGTGCCGCCCAGGCGAGGGCTCGGAGCACCCCGTCGCGCGGATGATCGATTTGGTCATCAAGCGCGGCGGCACGGCCAAGGCGCGCTACGGCGCCGACGCCCACACGCTCATCATGACCGTCGCCTACGCGCAGCAGCCCCGGGCCATCGAGCGGCTGCTGCGGGCGGGTGCCAGGGCAGCAAAAGAGAGCGAAATTCCCAACTTCAAAGGCTCATATCTCGGCCGTTTTCCACTCGTTTCGGCTGATTTTTGGACGAGCGATCATCCCTCGAAACGGTCTCGAAGCGTGGATGCTTTATTCCGGAACGTGCGCGCGCGGAACACTCGTTTTGAAGCGAACTTGAATCACTCTTTCGCTGCCCAGGCGGGCGCGGACGCGACGTGCGTCGACAGCAACGGCTGGACCGCGCTGCACTACAGCGTCCACCCGAAGCGCACGTGCCACACGAAGGACGCCGTGCTCGCCGTGCTCACGCGCGCGCGCTGCCCCCTCGACGCCGTGAACATCGACGGCGTCACCGCGCTCGCGATCGCGGCCATCGACGGCAACGGCCGCGCGGTGAAGAAGCTCCTGGCCCTCGGCGCGAACCCGACGGTGCGCGGCGCGCTGGGCCATTCGGCGCTCGGGTTGTGCATCGTCCAGCCGCGCTGCGCGTCCGAGGTCGGCGTCCACAATTCCGAAGGTTCGACGACGGAGAAGGATCCCGAGGTCGACGTCTGCATGGACAACGCGGTGCGCCGCTACGCCGCGAAGAAGGGCGGCGGCGACTACACGGCCGACGAGGACACGCGCGTCGCCCTCGTGGACCACTGGCTCGAGAAGATCCGCCAGATCCGCCAGCCGGGCCACCGGGAGCCGGACGTGCCCGTGTCGGCGCAGATGTACGACTTCAGCGACATGATCCCCAAGTCGGAGATGAAGAAGCGGCCGCCGGAGACGTTCCCCGACTTCGAGGACTACATCGACCCCGCGCGCCACTACGCGACGCTCCACCCGGACGCGCAGCGGCGCCGCGCGCGCGACGTCGAGTCCTGCCGCGAGATGCTCAAGGACTGCAAGCTCAACTACAAGCGGCCCGAGAAGAACGCGGGCAACCCCTTTTTTGCGATCCACGACCGGTCGCTGGACCGCATGCCCACGGTCATGAAGCGCCACTTCCGCGGGCGCCGCGTCGCGGCCGCGAACCCGGGCGACGAGCCGACGATCGTCCTCGACGAGGAGCCCACGAAGGACGAGGTCGGCTGGCTCGTCGGCCTCTGCTCGTTGGCGCCCCTCGTGGACCCGGCGTCGCCCGAGTTCGACACGGCCGACGACGACCGCGCGGACGACGCGGTGTGCGCGGACACGAACCCGGAGGTCGACGCCGCGCCGAAAGCACATATGCTTCAAAGTGTGCGATTTCGACCGTCTCGACGCATGTTTTTGTGCTCCGAGTAGAGAGCTCGACGAGAGAAACACACTCGTCCAAAAATCATCCGAATCGACTTCGATTTGACCGAGCTCGAGAGTTCCGAAGTTTGGTCGGGACCCCCCGAGCCAGCGGTTGGTTTCGGCGCAGGTCGACGAGACGGGCGACACGGTCTGGCTCGTCAGCGGCCGGCGCCGCCAGATGGACCGTTTGATCCGCGGGCCGGCGAGCCGCGTCTTCACGCCCATGTGCCCCAACGACGCCTGCATCCGCGTCGTCCACGAGTACGGGCCCATCGTCCACCCGGGCGCGCGCGGCGGCTACTGGGCCAAGATGCTCCGCGACGCGGGCGCGCACGTCGTCGCCTTGGACGAGGCGCCCCACGGCTCCAAGCCCACGGCGGCGGGGCTCGAGCCGCCCCTCGTCGCCTGGACGGAGGTGACCAAGGGGTCCTTCGCGGACGTCGCGGCGTGGTCCGACCACACGCTCCTGCTGGTTTGGCCCCGCCAGTGCTTCGGCTGGGCCCAGGAGGACGCGGACACGCCCGACGATTTACTGTGCCTGGAAAAGTTCATGGGCACGACGCTCATCTTCGTGGGCAACCGCTCGGGCACGTCCGCGGCCACGGAGAAGTTCCACAACAAGCTCAACACGACCTGGAAGCTCACGCGCGCGTGCGCCATCCCCTGCTGGCCGGGCCAGGAGGCCGACCTCACGGTCTGGACGCGCTAGGCGACGCGCGGCCACTCCGCACCAGCGGCCCTCCCGGGGCGGGTCCGAGCCATCGATGTCCTGGCTGAAGGCGGAGGCGTTTTTGAACATACTGTTCATGTTGCCATTCTTCGACACGTCCCAGTCGCCGATGTCCTGATTGAAAGCAACGGCGTTAATGAACATCCAGCGCATGTCCGCCGCCTTTGCCACATCCCAGGCGCCAATGGGCTGATTGAAAGCGACGGCAGTGTTCAACATATCTTGTGTATAAAACACCTTCGACACGTCCCAGTCGCCGATGGGTTGGTTGAAGGCGGCGGCGGGTCCAAACGTCCCGTATGTTCTCGTCACCTTCGACGTGTCCCAGTCGCTGATGTCCGCGTTGAAGGCGGAGGCGCCTCGGAACAGGGAGTCGATGTCGGTCACCTTCGACACATCCCAACCTTTGATGTTCGCGTTGAAGGCGGACTTCAACGCGTTGTTGAAGAACGTCGCGGACATACGCGTCACCGACGACACGTCCCAGTCGCCGATGGGTCTGTTGAAGGTGGGAGCGTCCCAGAACGTGCTGCTCATGGTTGTCACCTTGGACGTGTCCCAGTCGCCAATGTCCGCGTTGAAGGCGGCGGCGTCCTTGAACGTTCCGTAAAGGGTCGTCACCGACGACGTGTCCCAGCCTCCGATGGGCGCGTTAAAGGTGGAGGCTTCGTAGAACGCGCTGTCCATGGTCGTCACCTTGGACGTGTCCCAGTTGCCGATGTCCTGGTCGAAAGCGGCGGCGTCGCGGAACGCGTAGCGCAAGTTCGTCACCTTCGACGTGTCCCAGGCGCCGACGTCCTGGTTGAAGGTGGCCGCGTATCCGAAGGTTCGTGTCATGTCCGTCACCTTAGACGTGTCCCAATCGCCGATGTCCGCGTTGAACGTCTCGTCCGTGCTTGTACAGTCCGCCCAGTCAGCGCGCCCGTCCATCCAGCCCTGCCGCACGCAAAACTGTAGGGACATGTCCGTGACCTCCGACGTGTCCCATTCGCTGATGTGCGTGTATTTGGCCTCCGCGCTCGTCGAATTGTCGAGCCACTCGCCGACCGCGGTCCTGAGGTCGTCGTCCGTCGGAGAGTACGTCGCGTCGATGCCGTCGCACGTCGCGCTGGCCGGGCACTCGAGGCACTCGTTGTCGTCGACGTACTTGAGGTCGTCGCACTCCGTCGCGTTGGCGCCGTCGCACGTGAAGCCGGTCGGGCACTCGAGGCACTCGTTGTTGTCGACGTACTTGTTGACGTAGTCGCACACGGCGTCGACGCCGTCGCACGTGGCGTTGGCGGGGCACTCGAGGCAGACGTTGTTCTCGACGTACTTGTCGACGGCGCACTCCGTCGCGTTGGCGCCGTCGCACGTGAAGCCGGTCGGGCACTCGAGGCACTCGTTGTCGTCGACGTACTTGTCGACGGCGCAGGCCGTCGCGTTGGCGCCGTCGCACGTGAAGCAGGGAGCACTTCGGTTAGGGTTAGTAACCGAAAACCGTAAAAAACCGGCTTCGGTACGGTTACGGTCAGCCCCCCCGTCGACGCGGTGACGGTTCCGGTACGGTTACGGTTTTTACACGGTTATTGGGGCTCTAGGACGGTTCCGGTTACGGTGAGATCCGGGGCCGTCCGGTTACGGTGCCGGTGACGACGCCCGTCCGAAAACCAGAGAAGAGTTGCCGTCCGTCGGCCACGGGGCCGCGAGGACGGCGTCGACGCTGCGTCCCCGTACGCTCTCGAAGCCTGTAGTGCGCACATTTATTACAAAAAAGTGCAATCATCATTTATATCTTCCGTAAAAACAGCTAACGAAAAACGCTGCCCAAGCTCGCCGGAGAACAAAAGACGACTTCTACGTTTGAAATCAAATCATGGTGAACACGCTCAAGGGCTTCCGCAAGTGGCGGTCGCTCAAGGGCAGCGACATGGCGGCGCTCATCGGCAAGCGCTCCTCCGTCATGGGCAAGTTCTGGGACGGCTGCTCCAAGGACGACGAGGACAAGCTCTACCCGTGCGTGATCAAGGAGTACGACGACCGGAAGAAGATCGCGCGCATCGCGGCGCTGCAGCAGATGGTGCGCGTCGAGATGATCGACGACGCGGCGGTCTACAACGAGGAGGAGGGCCTCTGGATCGCGCTCACGATGATGTCCGAGTACCACGCCGCGCACCTCGCGGCCAACCCGCCGGCTCCGGCGCCCGTCGAGGAGGACTCGCAGGCGACCGAGGACGAGCCCGAGGCCGGCGAGGAGGCCCCCGTGCCTCTGACCAAGGAGGAGGTCCGGCAGAAGAAGGCGCTCGCCGCGTCGCGCAAGGCGTCCGGCTTCCGCGTGTGCTTCACGGCGCCGCAGCTGGTCAAGTACGTCACGGAGAACAACGGCAAGTCGCTCCTCGCCGTTAACAAGTGGACCTGCCTCGACAACTTCACGGCCGGGGACCCGCCGTGCGGGCGGATGCTCATCGACGAGCGCGGCACGTCGACGGGGCGGCTCAGCGGCCACATCGAGAGGTGCCACCCGGAGCAGTACAAGATGATGCTCCGCTCCGGCGAGACCAAGGCCGGCGGCAAGACCATCGTGTCGGCCGACGGCTCCCTGATCACGCGCCTCAAGTTCGAGGACGCGTTCAACTACCACGTCGACTGGGTCTCCATGTGCTACACGGACGCGGTCCCGTTCCACCGGGCGAAGACGCCGGGGACGCGGCGCTTCGCGGCGTCGCTGCGGCCGGGCTACGTCCCGCCGACGCGCGACACTTCCATCAAGGTCCTCGCGGTGATGGACGAGCTCATGACGGAGGCCGCGGACGCGAAGATCAGCGCGCACGTCCGCGCCGTGGGCGGCGCCTGCGTGAGCTGGCAGCTCGACATGATGACGTCGTGCGGCGTCGCGTACGTGACGCTCAACCTGTCCTTCGTCGACGACGAGAAGAGCGGCTTCGTGCACAAGAACGTGCAGCTCGCGTACGAGGAGTTTCCCGAGGGCCCCCACACGGGCAAGAACATCGCGACGTGGATCGCCAACACCCTCGCGCTCCACGGCATCGACATCGAGAACGTCGGCGCGCCGACGATCGACGGCGCGGCCAACGGCAAGCGCGCGATGAAGATCCTCAAGCTCGCCTTCCGCATCTGCGCGTTCCACCAGGGCATGCGCTGCGTGCACTACGCGCTCCGGCCGCTCGCGTTGAAGGCCATGTTCAAGGTCTTCAAGAAGCTCGCCTTGTACACGACCAAGGAGTCCACCAAGTTCAACGAGGCCATGAAGGCGGCCCAGCGCGCGTGCGGCATCGTCTCGGAGCCCCAGCCGGCGCTCAACATGCTGAACCCGGCGGACACGCGCGCCGACGGCGCGGCGACCATGCTCGAGCGGGCCATCGAGATCGAGCCCGCCCTCCGCATGACCCTCAAGAAGACCCACGCGGACCTGCGCGGCGACGAGATCATCGACGGCGAGCTCGACGAGGCGGCGGTCGAGGAGACGGCGTCCATCGTGTCTTCCGACGACGAGGATTCGTCGTCTTCGGACGACGACGACGACGAGCGGCCGAAGCTGTCGAAGAAGAAGGCCATGGACGAGGCCAAGCTCATGAAGCGCACGCCGACGCCGGCGCAGTGGAACCTGGCGCGCCAGATGCTCCCGGTGTTGCTCAAGGTCAAGGAGTTCAACAAACTCGTCCAGTACAGCACGGTGCCGACGACGGACCGCACGCTGCCCATGGCGCGCCAGCTGCTGCGCTCCCTCGAGAAGAAGTCCTGGTCCGTGCACGTGGAAGAAGAACTCGGACGGCGTCTACTCGAAGACCTTCGTGCAGATCGAGTCCAAGGATCTGCTCCCGGAGGTCCGCGAGGCGATCTCGATCATGATCAGCCAGGTGAAGGAGCGCTTCTTCGCCCCGGGCATGGTCACGGACCGCGACATGATCGCGCTCCACATGAACCCGCTCGTCAAGGTCGCCGACGTGTTCGGCGGCGGCTCCGCCGGCGACGCCGCCTCCAAGGCGGCCACGCAGCTCTACTCCGCGTTGTACTTCGAGACGTCCGCGCGCATCGGCCGTCAGGCGGGCGAGAAGACGAAGCTCTCCGAGGTCGAGAGCAACCGCACGAAGCGCAGCAAAGGCGAGAAGTCGCTCCTGGACCAGGCCTTCGACGATCTGGACGGCAGCAGCGACGACGACGCGTCCATGGACGTCGACGCCTGCGAGATGACGTGGCTCGACGAGCTCCGGTCGACGCCCAAGAAGGAGAGGAAGGACCGCTTCGAGTTCAAGGCCGGGCTCGACGGCGAGAAGCACTTCAGCGCGCTCCAGTTCTACAGCAAGCTCCGCATGCGCGCGCCGGTCCACGCGGCCATGGCGCAGCAGATCTTCGCCGACGAGGCGACGGAGGCCGTGTCGGAGCGGTCGTTCTCGATCCACAGCCTCTACACGAGCAAGCTGCGCAAGGCGCTCCAGGGCAAGGTCATCGCGCCCATGCTGCGCTGCAAGGCCAACCACGACCTCTTCTTCGAGGAGATCAAGGCGAAGATCTACGAGCGCTACTTCCGCAAGTACCGCAACAACGTCGACGCCTTCCCCGACTGCGTGCCCGGCTCCAAGGACGACGCCGACGACGACGTCGCCAACTGAGCGCCCAGCTCGCGCTCCAGCCGAACATTGATCGACGCGCGCGAACCCGCGGCCCGCATCTCACGGCCGCGCCGCGTCGAGACGGGCGTCGTGCCCGCCACGTCGCGCACCGGCGCCCCAAGCGCCGACGCCGGAGCTGAGTCTGGAGAAATCGCAGCGGGCAACGTCGGCCCTGGCAGTCGGCCCCCTGCTACGGTATGCTCCCCCGTCTGGACCTCGCGGCCTCCGAGTGCGCAGCGTCCCCGATCGAGAGCCAAGCTCCGCGGGCCGCGTCAGGAGCCAAGCTCCGCGCCAGGGACGTCTGGGCCCCTGCAACAGGGACGAACCCGGCCCCTCAAAAGGAGCCCCCCCGGGGCCCGGTGCGGCTTTAGTGGGCCCCCCAGTGCCCGCGCCCGCCCAAGGCAGGCGCGTAGGCGGGGTGCGTCGCCTAATGCGCTAGAGAGAGATCGAATACACGCGCGCGTGGCCCGCGCTGTTGCCGCCGCCGTCGTTCCTGGGCGCCCCGACGGCCAGCGCCGCGCCGTCCGCGCTGAGCGACACCGAGTAGCCCGACTCGTCGTTCGCGGCCTCGCCGTCGATGTCGTCGCCGCGCTGCTTCCACTCGTTCTCGTCGGAGTCCCACGCGAACACGCGCGCGTGGCCCGCGTCGGTGCCGGCGCCGTCGTTCTAGTGCGCCCCGACGGCCAGCGCCGTGCCGTCCGCGCTCAGCGACACCGAGTAGCCCGACCGGTCGTCCGCGGCCTCGCCGTCGATGTCGTCGCCGCGCTGCTTCCAGGTCTCGTCGACGGGGTCCCAAGCGAACACGCGCGCGTGGCCCGCGTCGGTGCCGCCGCCGTCGTGTAGTGCGCCCCGACGGCCAGCGCCGG